AAACGGAACAAACTGCATCGTGTTCCCACAGTCATTTTTCGATGCATTTAATAAATCAGTTACTCGGCAGTACTATTTTGCTTGACAACAACTCAAAGGTCATTGAAGTAATTGTGAGTCGAAATATTGGCAGGGGGAATTGAACCACTTCCTCAAATACGATGCTTATCAATTAGATAATAATGACTCCAAGCACACCTAACTGTTGCTTTAAATCTTTACTTCCAGGTTCTCATAAACTCGAAAAGATCACTAAATAGAAGTGACCACGGCCCTATTTTTTTACTATTACCGAAAAGCATTTTAGGGGGACCTGCACACAAAACTTCACTGGATGTTGGCATTTATCAGCATTCAGTTAGCTCAACCTAAGCTTGCTGGCACTAAGCCCAATTTGTAAACTTAGTCCAGAGGTCAAGGTTAGCTACAATAATTTAATTATCAATTTACTGCTCAGCGTGTAATGTCGTAGTGCCAATGTCGCAATATGAGGGACAAACTCTTCCACAAGGCACTTTCCGTCGCATGGTAACGTTTTGCCATCACCGAAGACACCTACGTCGGGATCACGAATTTGTCGCGGCAACGTCAACAACTTTAGCCAAGACTGTCGAGTTGCAGCCGAAGTATTTGTCTACTACTGAATTCTTCACTTACAGCTCGTTATCTTGGCCAATAGACAGCTGAGAACTATGCTCAGAGAAATGAACTGAGCGGATAAAATACCTAACAACATTGCGAGAACTGGCTTCCGGCAAACCTTGTACTGAGTACGTATTTTCGTGCAAATTTAGCCTCCTCTCAGGTTCCTTATGGTTCTCGGTCATGTTGTGATCGTATGCGCTCACTTTACTGCGTCTCACGCGTGTCCAGCTAACTCATCCTGTGTGGGGGCGAGAGAAGGAGAGTAAAAGTGGCATCTGAGACCACCTCTATTGTTTTGCAAGCCAAAATCACCGGCCTCACATCCGGACCCACTTGATATTAAGAAGTACATTGCAGTGATTTAGTGCGTTTATCATCGAAAGCACTGCAAACAAGCAGGTGACAGCTACACTTGCAGGCTAACCCAACAGAACTGCGTCTGTGAAATCCGTAAGAGGTAGATTTTGAAGACAAAATGACAGGCCTTCAGCAACACTTTAGACAGATACTGAGGTGTTTTTCGCTATGATACTCACCCACCGAAAGTCCAAAGCCTTCTTGAAAATCCAACGCTTACCCTGTGTTCAGTGGTTGGTTTGCATCTGTCGGTTTATACTTATTTCAACGGAGAAAGATAATGTCATGTTAAATTTACAATGCATTAAATTATTTGTGTGCGAATTTGAACTTCTTTCATTCACCACACCAGTTGCACTCTCTACTGTCTTTAAATACTACAAGATCCCTACCTAGTTAAATGAATTTTAACCAAATTTTCAAATAAGTCCATTTCAACTTCACGTTAAAAATGTGTCCTAGCACAAGGGCAGCTAAATCGTGTGCATCAGAATCACACAACAAAAGTGACAGTACCGTCCACCTCAAGCAGACCATAAAATTATCGACATGTTTGTGAGCGAGTCTGCCGTCGCTGAATCTGTAAGCTTGGTGTCATTGAGTCAAATCTTGATGTTTGCAAAAAAATGACTTAGGAACTTCACAGTCAAAGCCTAAAAGGTTGCCTTTAAACCATTTTAGTCCGTTTTCGTATTTTCTGCCGAACTTAATTTTTAATGTTGTGCACCAAGATGGAAAGCTTCTTGGTTTATGGTTATTGTTTGATGCTTACTTATAGCCACAGACGATCTCTAATGTGTGCCAGATAAGAGAAAACACGACCAAAATATGATAAAATGAGCACCCAAACAATTAATTCGGCGCCTACAACTGGATTTTAATCACACTAAATCCGTATTTTCGTGTTTACATCATGTGTAGGTACATAAACAATAAGACGACCATATGCCAATACAAACATTTCGAATAAATTCAAAAGAGCTTAAAATAAAGAAAAACTTCTTCAAGAAGAAACCCAATTAACGCGTACGCATCAATAAAAAATGGCGAGCAAATGTATTTCCCCTTGAGACGAGGGACGCTTAACTTTGAGAGTAAGGTGCCGGGCAGGTCATGGAAAGTACTGATATCCCATTAGAATTACTAATCGAAAAGGGCAAATTTTACACCATACCAATCCGGCTTTGGTTGGTTTATCCACAATAGAGCAGGAAAGGCAGAGGCTTGATTAGCGGTATTTTTAAGCCATTAAAACGAAAACAGCTCAACTTACGCAGTTGCGATGGTTCTTGAGTTCAACAATTTCATGATAAGAGCAATCGTAAAACGTTATAAATACAATGGGCATCAAACTATACCTCCTCCTGGTCTCCGCGTCTCCTAGATAAGATGGTTTTAGAAGACAGCACATAGGCATGGGTTGAGTGGGTCTAAATAAACCACCATAGGAGCAGATAGCTCGTGCTAGGAGCAGCAGTTAGCCAAATGAGAACTTATTCATGTGTGAATTTTGAATCAAGCAATCCAGCATGAGTTCTCGCCTTAATTAACTTAGATCGGACTGTAATTAAAGAGTTGGAAAACAAAAACAGCATGGATGACTAGATCCTACACATTCTATTGGAGTTAAAAGGCTCACTACCATAAAGGGCTTCGAGAAATGATCAGCTGTTTTGATTGCTCTAGCATTTATTTCGACTCCCACCTCGATTAATCATTCTTACATTTTATCCATAAGCTTCAGTAGAAAACGACATCCTGTAACTTGCTATATTGGAAAAGGTATATTCTTACAATGCGGGACCAAATTTGTGAAATGTGCTCCTGTGAATATTGCCAATACCGTGCGGATAACCATAAGCCCTAAATTATTCCTAATTTCTACTTAGATCATGGGTCCACTTTACATGGATGCTCTCGGATCGCGAGGGCTCCGACCAGGGTAATGCACCCCAGTGCCACAACCTCTTAGTTATACACTTCCCCTAACATTTTCGTGTTCCTGAGTTGGCAATGTATTTTCGAAGATTCGTCGTCGAATGATTACGCAATTACGGCATAATTAGCTGCTCCAAGACCCATTACGGAAATGTTTGATTACAAAACTGGCACATTGGTACAACGATAGCGCATTCGTCTGCCATGTAACGTTAAATTTTGCTGTTTTCAGACCATCTCAAATTTCATTAACAAATCATCCTTCAACTCTGGCCTTTTCATGAATCGGTATCAAGATTGACGCCGTGTATCCTTAAAAGCATGCGACAAAAGGAACAAGACATTTCAATTTGGTGAAACAGATGATTCATTAAGGTATAAAAGCCCTTCGCACACGAGATGCCAATGCAGGCATGGCGCTTAACCACAGTGCGGGCAAACATCGATTGAAGTAACTTTGTAGTAGACTACGCCTAACCATAACATCGCCTGGGCACAAAATCCACAAGGGTACTGTATACGTGAATGTAATACAATCTCTGTGGAATCGAGGCTCGCTCGCACCCTGATAATATCAATACGGCATAATGCCAACTACATTAACGAATAAACTCATAATAATAATAATATGCATCGAACAAATCGCTTCCATCGCCGCCGCTACACACCCAAAAGTTATAAAAACACGAGAACGAGCCAACACTGTGAAACCAGATCTAACTGATAGTATCTGAAATTCCGGTAGGCTGTGCAGGTTTATCAACGCTGAAAACGTGCAGGGTCAGCAATGATTTAGTCGGACAACGTCTGCTCACTATTTCATATTACATATTTGTACTAAAAAATAATCGAGCCGGCGAGAAATCATTCCGGGTTTTAACAGATAAATACCGTTACGTATATCATTTTTCCCTTTTAACACTTAATACACGTCAAAGAAAGTTTACACTGCAGGCAGGTTGGCATAAAGTTGTTTGTTCTAAAGTATAAAATGAACATTTGCGACTCCTCGTGATTTCTACTTCCGTAAAGACAATAAAGCCCCATAAAAAGGTAGGAAGCTTATGGTGTTAAATGAGCAGCATAACGAACGTGTCAGAAGTGATTCTTTCCACTTAAACACGACCGAAATTCCTGCCAACACACCAAAGCCATGCAGGGTATGGTTCGGATCGCCATGTCACCGTGCAAGAGATTGCAGAGATGTCATATGCTGCACCACTCACGACAGATGAAAACCACCTCAAGTGTCCTGGGCTCGTTAACAAGCCCAATTATTGGGGTTTTCGTGGCTAGAAAGAACCACACTCAGCACAACAAACAAGCATTTGCGATACGAGTCTCAAACGCAATGCAACCGTCCGTGTTTTACAATGAATCATCTCGGGGGTGATGGAAAATGAACCTTGTACAAAACCATCAATCGAAAGCGACCATGTTCCACGCGTGATTTAACACCACAAGCCACATCGAAAGCCCAATCACACCGAAAAGACTACGCTGTCCGTTTGGGGTGATTACAAAAGTGATGTGTACTTTGACCCGCTTCCAAGGAACCAAACATCAATCTGGGTGTTTGCTGTCAACACCGGACGAAACTGTATTAGAGAGCCACCAGAGAAAAAAGATCAGAATTTAGAAAAAAACAGCGAAGAAATCGTGTTTTGGCAACCTGTGGGAAATTATTGAACCTTGGTAGGGAAGTGAATTCACACATAGCCCTGCATGGCCTGTGGACTCGCAGAACTGGTTGATAAGGACCACAAGTTCAATAAGCGTAAACCGCGAATTCGCCAGAGATACGACAGGCCGATAGACGAAACGGGGCTGTACAACCAAAGGTCATTCTTTGGGTTATGGAATAGCTACATTTGATTCTACTAAATCGGTGTTTCTTCCTTGCCAAACATTTTTTATGGTGCTTCTTGTTTAGTTCTACCATCACCGAATAGCTTGAAGATGTTGCACAAATAGTAGGTGCCGATAGGTGTAATATAAATTTATTAATTATCGATACCACAGATCAAAATTAGAAAAAAAAACACCAAAATAGACTACACTTAATGCAGCTTAGCCAGGAGACAGGAGGAGCGGTAGACAAAGGCATCCAAAAGGCCAGCAACTAAAAGAGAACAAAAATAGCATACTACCTATATGCTTTCAAATAGGTAGAATTATACGGAAAATCTACCTTGATAAGACTAGATTTTGGGAGAAAAATCGGGTTAAATACGAAAAAAAAACAATGGATATTTCAACCATCCAACCAGCCAATTGAAGCGGCAACTAATTTGTCTACATGGGCACGTCTTTTTAAGAGCGCACGAGACTTGTGTTGTCATGTTCGCAGTCGAAAACCCATCCGAGTTTGGCCTTCTACTGGTAGGTCAAGAGCCACCTATTCGCACAGCTTGAGTGCCGCGCATCTGCTAAACAAGGTGAGACAACAAAATATGCGCACAGTGTGAATGGCACTGATCACAACGAATATCTTTAGAGGACACTAAAATTGTGCACACTTTTCTAGTGCAAATTGTACCTGTATAGACTCCACCGACGATGGCGCATGTGTTTGTCAAGAAATACAGAAAGGACCTGAAAAGGAGCAATAAAATCGGAGTGAACAATCGTCCCAGTGGGTGAACAAGCGTGCATCCAGCTCACTTTCGTTCCTTGGTGAGTTTAACCAGAAGTGGACTGATTTGGTAGTTGAAGAAGACTCCAGGAATGCCTTCCGAGCCTCCGCTCAATGGGGTTGATTTGATTTGCCAAGTAACTGAGTACTGATTGGTCACGAGGGGCTACAATGGAATAGGGCAGATGGAACTGTGAGCCTTATGTCTGCTTAGACAGTCCAAATACGAATAGATTCAGGGGCAAAATTCCAGACCACGTCACGTAATAATGTAAGAAACAGCTGCTGCACGTCTGTGTCGCTCAGTTGCGCGACACCCTTCAGTCACACACCGCCAAGTCAGACTCACACCGCCGCCACACAGAGTGCCTCAACAGATGTCCGTTGTCGAAATCGCTTGGGAACAAGTCATGCAGATACTTTACTTCTTTAATTCATATAATACAACAGAATTTTATCGGAAGAAAAATGTTAATTACTTGGTGAGGCATCATTTTGTGGCCATAAATAAACTTACTGTAGCCGAGTAGTCTGAGTAGATCGTAGGCACCAATTTGATGAAGTATGAAATCATCGGTGATGCTGAACAATGGAAGACGACATGGGTTAGCGAGGACCAATCACACGAGGCAGGTACAAACACGTGTGAATCGGGTAGAATCGCGGCGATTGCATTTTCCATAATCCCAAGGCCGAGGCGCGTGTGACAGGAGTTAAACAAATTACGAATCCTTTTTCCACCGCCAGTCAAAATACATTTGATGACGGTTATTAATTGTAAACGCACCCTGATCTGTGTGAGGAACTTTGCAAAACAACAACACAAGTAATCACCCAAAAGTGAGTTGATAAACTTGTTGGACGACCAGGCCTGTGATGAGAGGGCTTATCGCCCCACCAAGAACTGCGTGTTATGGTGGCAATCAAAAGTATCCACACGACACAAAGCTACCTAACCATTGCCAACTCATTCCGTTAGCGACAGAATGCCGCAAAATTACCCATTTGACACTCACATTGGTTGAGAGCTGGTGTTAAGAGAGCACGCTGATAGAACACTGGAGCCGTCAAATACGCCCAAGTGGGGCACAACGGTGTTCTCATTAGATTCATAATTTGACTCAATGGTTCGAGTTCACACCATACTTTGGTTTGTTGATGAAATCCCACAAGGCGTGATGCCGCATTTCATGCCTACTGGAAATCGAGCGAACTGACGAGCCCCCTCAACGCCAATGCCACACGAGCTAATCCGCCGATTGGTGCAAGTCAGGGCCAACGACCGTAATTTACGAAAACCGGACAGTTATTCTGCTAACTATTAATGACTATCTGTGATTTAATATGATAGCCAGGGTGACATTGACGATGATGGACCCCCATAACGCTCGTGTCATCCCATGTCTAGTCGGATTCGCTCAAAAGAATCTGAGCACTAACTAGTGCTGCATTACCACGCAAGAGATCAGATGAAACTGAAAGTAGTGAGTCTGTTTAAAAGTCGCCCGATCAGATCCCCTTCACGATGAAACCTTGCCATCTTAAGCACCTAACTAACCCTGACATGATGGATCCAGGTAACATCTTGAAGGAAACAGTCAATAGGCTGAAAGGTTTTTGAATTACCGTCACCTTAAAGGCTCGTTTTGTGTATTAAACTCGACTGAATTAAAGCCCTAGGCTCAATCTAAGCTTTTACAACAACAGCGACTTCAGTTATACTAATATCCAAAACTACAGCTTTGACAAACAATGATAAAAAAAGGTGTTTGCTCACCTGCGTCAACAGTCATGTTAGTGTTGTCCAGTGGGTTTACCTGACCAGGATAAGTGTCCCCAAAACTCAGATGCCGGATTTCATGGCTCAACGGAAACTACGAAAAATATTGCGGTAATCAAAATCAATATGCTTATCAAACAGGAAACGGGTAAACCACCCACCCAATTCACACAATTTTTTAGACAGTTACCACTAGTATGAGGATATTCATTCCATTAAGAGGCATTACATGTGAAATGCTTTGAATATTTGAACGCTGTAAAAGGGTGCACGAAAATGACAGGTAAATTTTGGAAAAAAACACTTTTTTGTTCACCTGCTCTCCGGAAAAGGCCATGAGATCATGGACGTGGATATGGCCTTGACCGTAGCTTTTTCCAGGTGCGATATGGAAAGCACCAGCAACTTTATTCACGTCAATGTGACCAGCAAGACGACAACCCTCCTTTCCAATGGCGACAAGACTTCCAGCAGTTTTCTCGTCCTTGCACTGCTCGAACATGTCTGGGTTAGGGACACCCCAACCACGGAGACGATAGGCCTCTAGGACACTATCACAGGTATTACAGCACCTAAATTAAAACAAATTAATGCGCTGGTGTGCCATAAAAGCCCCGTTTGTTAAAACAAGCATAAGAGCCTGGAGTTTTATAACTGTAAACGAATATTCATCACACCAACTGTGATTTTTCTATGGCTGCATTACACATTAATGCATGTCACCTACGTTGAGTAAAATGTTTGTTCAAAAAGCAGGTGAAGCCACTAGCGGGTTTCAAAAAAGCGGCAAGGTAACACTTAAATAATTGGAAGAGATCCCATTAAAACCACTTTAACTGTTAGAAACACGTGACTTACACGTTGTCACTAGTAGCCGCGCCATAACAAGAACCACAATAATTCCTACTCTGAAGTCGCAGAACAGTAAAACTAATTAGATGCTGAAACTTACACGTTTTGAGTTCAGCGCGCTTTCCCCCCCAAAATTCACACCTAACCAACAATAACATGTGTACGCAGCCATAACTACCGGTTTCAATGAGGCGCCCGTCGGATGCAACGCGAGTTTTATTTATTTCTTTCGTTATTGCTGAATGCTGTTCACCAGATACATCCATCGAATCGACGGAAAGAACTGCAGAAAAATATACACTTGGATTTATTCGTACCATAGCAAGGAATGAACGGGAAAATAATATCAAAGTTGATTGACATCTGGCGATTCCGGGATATGTCAACAATTATTTCTTGCTTAACTTCGGGAGACATGTAGTCAGCAACCTCCCAAATAAACAAACATAGGATAATCAAAAGAGACGTGATTGAAACTAAAAACCTCGAATTAATAACGCCAGCATACGAAAAGCCCCGGGAACTGTCTGTATCCTAAAATCTTTAAGCGGTTTAGCGAAAACATCGAAGTGACGTAACGACCTAGGCAGCAAAACGACCGCCATTATCAATATGTGCGCAATTATGTCTATAAGTATAAACAATGAGTAAAATTAATAGCAGTTCACATGACACAAAACCTTCAAAGCAAAAATATCAACACTCCTAAGTAAGTTTTCGGAAAAAATTTTTTACCTTTATTTATCTAAAACGGTGCTAATGCTGCTTGATTGGTTTAAATAATTTCCAGGGCGAGTTTTAAAATGGTGCAAATCATTATAAACTAATTCTACGACAATACCAAGTGATGTCAGTTCACTACCACTACTTTATTGCAATAGAATCATGACAACATTCATATGCCTATTCTTTGAACATCTAAATAGACCTTGAATTTGTGTTTTCAGTGCACTTATCGTGTGGAGTAATTTAGTCTCCCTAAATTGTATTCCGGCCGTTAGTTTTAGTCCCTTAGACAGAAAACACCATCTTAGCTTTCCGATGTGTGATAAAAAGAACGGGACTTTTAGTTATAAAACTTTATCTCTATGGGCAATCAAGTAATAAAATTTAATCTTTAATATTATATTCACGTCCCATATGACTTAAGCAAAATATAATATGTTAAAACTACTTGTTGCGTAAGGTTTTAAGTGTCAGATTTATTAGTTCCATAAATTTGAAAATGTTTAGTACTTGAGTTAACATGAATTTACTTTCTGACGGCTGTCCGAAATGGTTTAGTGTGTATTTATTTTGTTTATTATTTAAAATAATTAAGCACCTATAGGTTAAAGGTATCACACTGACTAAAATAATCTAGGGATTTTATAATAAATTCCCTTCGAGTTTTGAATAAATATCTAATTTTTTGAATAAATACTCGAAAGGCCTATAGAATCCTAACTAGTTTATATTAAAAGGCCAAGTCAGTTTTGTTAGTTTAAGTTTTTTGCATCATATATTATCGTGTTGGATCTTGTTTAATTAAGCTTCTATGGACGCTGGTGCTTTTTCGAGTTACTGCTTTTAATAATTTCAAATGGGACAGTTCATATAAATTCTAATCACATTTCCTTGCCTTATATTGTAATGCTGTAACTCAGGTTTAAGATGACATTTGAAATGGAGGCTGCATTTAATCGCGACAAGGACATTGTGGTTTCAAAGCAAATTACTCACGAAAATGAAGTAAACAAAGTCCATCTAATATTCTCTCTTCAAAAAAACATTGAATTTTTAAAGCTAAAGCATCATGAAATGCTTGTTACATTGCACAGTGAAATCGAACGCTTAAAGCGAACAAATAATGGTGAGTATTTAGAATTTGTACATAATTCTTGCAAGAACTCCAACAAGAATTGATCTTGGGAAGGAACCACGCTCAGTCCTCTATAGAAAGCACTGAAAATGTGAAGTTACTAACAAGAATAAATGAGTTAGAGGCTCAGTTACAAGCAGCTCTAACCAAGAACGAGCTATTAAAAAGAGAACTTGAGTCAAGTAAAAAACATAGTCTCTCAAAGAGGTAATTCATCGTATAATTTGCAAAAACTATGATGCAATATTGCGTTTTGTTGTTTTTGCCTGTTTGCCTGGGTTGTATGCTATCAATTATTTAATCAAATGTTAAGTTTTGTAAGTGAATATATTGTTGTGAATGATGCTAAATAGACCTAACATGCTCCCACGCCTATTCCAAAAAGCAATTAATTTTTAACGTTAACAGGTATACATATTTGCAAACTTCTTTCTGCTGGGTTATTCTTCCAAAATGACTCAAGTATACGTCAAGTGTTTGGTGTTTAATAGAACCAGGACTGGCCCTTTTAACCTATTTAGATCTATTCGTAGATAATTTTGACCTAATTAAATGCATGACAAATGCTTGTTTTATAGAAAAAATAAATAAGGTATTTAGTTGTTCCATTTATCTCTACTTAAACTATGGTGTGTTATTTTTTGTAATTTTTGGACTTTTTTAAGTGAAATTTTACAATCAACCTTGAGACTAAATAATTTTATGTTTTGCTGTATAATTTTAAGTGGTATCTTTCCCGTTTACACTTTAGACACAATTTTGCTGAGACTCACTCACCTATTATTCAAAAAGCCGAGCAAATCAGGAATGCAACTGTTTGCAATCCAACCGAAGACGTGACAGTGATCGCTGGAGATCTGCCGATCTCTTTTTTACCTGAGGAAGCTAGTTGTGCACCCATTTGCAATAGAAATCTGATTGTAAGCTTGTCTTTGAGTGTATTTTTATTTTTTTGTACATCATGTAAGCTTAAGTTTGCGAAACACCATCAATCGTAGAAATTGCGTTGCGCGACATATACTTTCCAAAAGTTACTTACCACTCCGTTTGTTGTTGCTTTTAGGGCCCCTCACCCAGTCTAGAAAAACGGAAGGGCTATTATGATTGAAGAACCTCAAGAAATCGACATTTTCCAATGTGTTTGAGTGCAATTTTGTGAGATTTTATTTGCTGATTTGCTTTGAATAAATATTTTAAGAAAGCTGGTAGAATTCTCAGTTGCTAATTTCCATTCACACGAATCAAAATGGGTGAGGGGCCTTAGGGAGAAACGTCTTGCCGTCCCGTTTTACACAGTGATATCGTAATGCTGCAACAAATCGTTTAATTTATATTAATTGGCTGTCCTGTTGTCCCATGTTAAAATCAATTTTGTGATTCTAAGTCGTTCCTGAAAATTTTCTTCGCTCAAAAAGTCATACTTTTGCGTTTTTCTAGCTAAGAGTGTTTGCTTTTATAAATAAAATAGATGTCAATTTATCTATTCTATACCAGGGATATACTGGTATATAACCAAGAGCATCACGTTTTTCTGAATTTGAATATTAACTATTCTCCCAGTGGGTATTCTTTGATTTGAATCTACGGTTTTCTAACGAATGCACGACCGATTAGAAATTGCTGCTTTTCCGTTCCCTGTGTATAAGAGAGTGCTTGTCTACTTCGTCTAATTTCAGATCTTTTATATTACCTCGGCACAAATCAGTGCCTAGGTAATGACAATGAGGTAGCCATGGACCAAAGTAAAATTTTGCACAAACACTTGGTATAAATGTTTATTTCAAGAGGACCGGTATGATGCAGCTTTTTAGGGCTTTTAATTCGCTATCCTTACCGAGTTTATTATAGCTCCTTCTCTTTTTTCAAAATGGGTTCTTGATCTTGATGCAGAATTTATGTATCGTGGTATTAGATCATCTACAGATTAAATAATTTTTAATAACTTAAGTCTTACCAAATACACAGCTCTATATCCCAAAAAACAAACATTGCACTTGTACTTAACAGTGATATGGACTGATTTTTATTTCGTTTTGAGTAGCTGATCAAAAATGTAGTGTGTTTCAACGAATTCAGTAATCTACAGCCAGGGGGAAATGCAAACCCAAAATTTCAAACACCGAAAATATGATTTTTGGCCATTTTGCGGGCTTACATTCACCTCCCCCGTTACTGCTGTAATCAGGTAGTTAGCACTACCCGAAAACTGCCGCAGTTTTAAAAACCACCAAAGCATCCTCCTGATTTGGTAGGCAGCGACGTCTGAATTTGTTCAACGAGATTGAATTCTGCGGGCGCAGACTCACGCTTTGGAGGCTATCAGCTGCAACGAGCCTATCGAACATAATAATTTTTTTTTGATTGTCAATAATTTGCTTAGTGGCGTGATCTCATTTAAGTGGGCCTTATCACAATCACCAACGTTCTTGAAAGTGTGTATCATGTGTCGAATTCAATGAAAAAATTAAATGCCATAACTGAAACCAGGCAAAACTGCACAAAAACAAATTTGAATTGTAGAATGAGTTAGGCTTGATTTTTTGAGGACAGCTCTTTTGTGTGGAATATATGGCACTAAGTTACACAATATTCCAGACACTGCTTGATTTTTGGGGAATAGGTCCTGCCTATTTCCGAGGTCCATTCTATCCGGTGGAAGCTAGATGAGCAAATATGGTACACCCTATCGGAGTTATACGGACAAAATTCGTACCTGTGTAATATTATCTACAAAACGAAAGTTATGGTGAACCTTAGCAAGGATAAACTTCTCTTTGCCTTTTACAGTCTTGCGTCTGGAAGCGTTATCTTAACGCATGTGGACACATGGACAGTGTCGTCGTTAACACCCCAGTGGAATGCCGTAATAAAACCAAAAATGTAACTCATCACACCCAGTGGCTATCTAAGTCATTAAATTCTTGCAAAACTTGAAAACGCAGTCCTTTCTAGTGGTATTTTTCAGATCTTTAAAAGAGGCTATAAATTTACATGATGGTTACCTTTTGAACCCCAAATATTTCTTCGTCTGCAAATCCAATGCTACTCCAAAACTATGTGGAATATAACAATTTAGGTAGATCTTCTGCAATGATAGAGATTTCCCCCAGGTGCTATATCTTGATAACTCAGAAGGCTTTTTGAGATTCGTGTGTCATTACACCTACTCACTTCCATCCTTCTCTTCTAATATGGCAACAAAAACTATTCTGGATAAGGTGATTTAAGAAACGACATAAGTTTGTGCAATGAAGATTTTTGAGGCATCTAGGTTCTTTTGAATACACATCCAGTTGAGCAAAATTTGATTCTGTATATTCAAACATACCGTTATTCCCTTGAATATTTGTGAATATAACAGTTAGAGGATAATTTGTGCAGAAGATAATCCTTGACTGTCATGCCATGTACATTTCATCTTCCAATTTGAGGTTTCCAGCTTGACCCTGTTAAAAGAACCATTAAGAATGCGTTTTTTCACCATTTTTGTGTTTATGTGGCTTTAGGACCTTGGACCCGGGTTCGTGACCCCTACAATTAGATTCGCAACAGTCGACAAGTTGCCTATTTCACGTTCTTCACACAACACCCCTCTTCCGCCCATCATTCGACCGGACACGGCTGGTTCGATCAGCAGACAGAGTCTGGTCTCTTCGGAGCTTCCTACTTCACCGGCCTACTGTATGATGCCCGCGACTCCTAGGAAAGGTACCACTCGCAGGGGACCGCCTACCACACGACCGGCTGACTTCAGAACGTGCCTTCTACCGCTCAAACAGACTCCACCCGTGCCTACGTATAACGAAGCACAGCGATTGCCCACAACTCCTGTTAATCTCAAAATCTCTCCTGCTTTCTCGCAGAAGGCTTACATGGCTTCAGGACCCATTCTTACCGAAATTCCTGCGAAGTAATTTCAGGTTCTGTTTTAGTCTGGGTCATGAGAAGAAATTTTGCTTACTCGTTGTTTCCATTACTGCAACAGTAAGCATTTTACGCATGTTCGTTGTGACAAAAAGGAGTTACTGTGTCAACGCAACTTCTTCCCTCCCCTTGCATAGCCTAGTGTCACAGTCAATTCTTTGCTGTTGTCGATTTGATGATGGCCAGGCTTGTTACAGAACCAGTCTCTGCGATCCGAATCATGCTGTTGCCGCCCTATGACTTGAAACGAAGATCCCACACTGGACTCAAGCCTATATCGGATCAACGTTTTGCTTACTTCCTTGGAAAGTGTTTTTAAAATGCGTTCCTCATTTCCTAAGAGCAGTTGAGAGTCTTAATGATGAACACGAAATCGACAGAAAAAAATGGTTAACTGATTGAGTAAACATGCAATTTTTCGCCTCAACACTTGCTGTGTGGAAATTATCGAAGTAATGCGCATCTGGAGCTACAACTAGACTCGTTTTAATTGTTGTCCTCCACGGAAACTTCCTGGCATACCGAAAGTGGTCAGAAATGTTGACTTGAAAAGTTTAAGCATTTCAAAGGACGTAATGATGTTTAGGTACCATGCTGCGTTTTCTGCTTCTAAGTGTCGGCAATCTGAAGCTTGTGCGAGCTCCCGAGACTAATTTTTGGTCCAAGCAATCATTTTTAATCTGTGGGGTTGAATTTCGCCACTTAATTACGAACAAGGAACTAAGTGTTCTAGTCGTTTTTGATTAAACGACCAAACTACGCTTCATCCGGGTGGTTGTGTGCTGCAATGCAAAACTGAAATTAATACCACGTAAAATTCTCATCTAAAACTAATCGCCTACGCTTACTGTCGGGGTCTCATGTAAATCTATGTTTAAAAAAGCGTGAAATATTACATGTTTAGAACTAGGAACGTTTTTTTTACAATTTTCGTCTTTTATCATTTTTTGGACTTAAGAAAGAAGTAAAATCCCCAAAGGGCTGGTAATGGACAAATTAGAAGGACTATAGAATTTCCATGATAGTCTATGTCTTCGTAATTGTCATTAATTTAAAAGAACTTTGGAAACCGTTACTTTCGTCTGCCAAAATGAACTACTGACTGCCTTATTCGATGTATTTTTTCATGCAGTGGGCTTTTAAGCGGCTCGACTAACGCCTGTTTTTGTCATTGTGCACTTGAACCAAAAGGAGTTGGATTTTCCGTTCATGACTTTGAAATTTTGGTGGCACACCAGGATGTCAAAATGTTCGACCTCTTCACGTATCTTATCCTTTTCTATGTCGTTCCAGTCCTCAGTCAGGTCTTTTGAACAGATGCTCTGAATCTGTGTACAATGTTTTTTTTACTGTTTTGAAATAAGTGTAGCCTTTACCGACCCATTTCAGTAGATTAATGTTGCTTCACTCAAATGATCATTCGTGTCAAATGAGGCCCTGATTTTTGTGGCCTAAGTTATAATTTTAGAAAAAAAATGAGCAGCACCATTTATTTTTGTATAAAAGAAGCACAAGAAGAACTTTTATCGGAACATTTGACTACTGACCTCCGCATCCGCTAGGTTTCTTCACCAGCTTGACTCCCGTGTGAAGACCTTCATTAATTAGAGTTGTTTTATACTAGATCATAAGTAAGTTTAAAATGTGGACGTAAGCTCTTCAGTAGCACAACTTTGACTCAACAAACGGCTTCTGTTAGCTTGAATAGTAGCCTCTCTATTTTGTTGATTAGATGGAATTTGTGTATTGTTGTCACAACCACACAGTCTACCTTATGTAAGCCTCTCTTTAATTATTGAATCCTTCGATAAAGTTCAGTGAACTTTTTCGATAGTGAAACTAAGCCCTTAACCGCATTTGTTGCTTTTTAGACGATCGGGAAGGCATCTCTACTCAGAGAAAGATAGTCACGCACTTCACTCTTCTGCTAATATTCAGCTAGATTTTCACAAGGAACACATTCCGTTCACTCGTAGTTCTACTCGAAAGACCCCAGATCTCCATTCAACTAGATACCATCTGGATGACCCGTCGCGACCTCACGTTCGTCGCAGATTCAACTCCGAGGAACCAAGAAAACGCCTCCCTTGAATCCTGCTCTATACAAGTGTATATTGATAATTCCACTTAAATATCTGTTACGGCCGCAGTGTGCCTGTTTGTGTTTAAAAGGTTATTTTATTACGATCACAAGATAAGGTAATAATAAGCAACGCCAGTATATCCAAAAGCACCTAACTAAGGGTTTGGATTTGTGTACAACACTTACTTATGGTAGCCAGCGTAAGCCTTATTCCCCGTTCCGATTGGAAAATAGGAAAATATTGCAATGAGTGCTTTGGTCTTTAACCAATTTATCCCCCGTCTGACCTTGCCTCTTTTGTATTTGGTTTCTTTTCAACAGAATCTATTAATTAAAGCAAATAAATCTTATCGTTCACCTTTTCTCGACGTCAAGGCAGCGATTTTTAAGATGGTAAATATACATAAATCCTAAAAGCATCACGCACACTAATTTCAGTTACGTGTTAAAAATAAGCCACTTTCTGAGACGACATTCACTACGTTTCATGAAGACAGCTCGAAGATACCAACTGAGACCACGACTAGTCATGATTTCCTTTATGCCCTTTCAGTTGTCCTTGTTTTGTGAAATTTGCACGTCTTTGGCGACAGTACTCAAATCAGTCTATGGTAGAGTGGTTGCTTTTGGATTAGGGCTAAAGATATTTTAAGAATTACCCAAATATGTTTTAAAGCAAAACTTGTCGTCAAAAAAATATTCTGCGTCTTATTTAAATTACAAAACTTTTACACGCCTGCAGTATTTTTACATCAAGATCTTTCTTTTGGCAATCGCAACAACTCCTGATTATTTCCATAGTTGCAATTAGTCTTTGAACATCAGTTTTAACTCTTGACCATATTACAAGAATACAAATAATCTGTACTACACGAATGCCGCAATCCTACCCTTGGCGTTGGTTATATTGGCAACGCTAAATGACAATTTTTTTGTTTAAACAACTGGCGGTATACGAAAAATCTTGAAATCAACTGCTCTAGTTGTCAACGGGAAAAAAATTTGCGAAGTTAATAAAGCCTGTGCGGTGGGACGTCCAAACCTTGCAAGCACTAACAACGACAAATTTTCGATGTTCATAAAATGCTCCCCCACGTGACCCTTGTCAAAATGTCTGTAATGAATACGCAGGTTCTTTTAACCAGCATTTGTGCGTTTAGAATCCATTAAATGTTGTGGAGAATTCCCAAAAGTAATGTGGCGGTCACGTATAGGTGAGGGCTACAAATGTTAAAGTCTACCATTGCCTTTTGTGTCTGTGCGGAAACGTGACGTGGCGTTTATGGGCCCAAAGCTTCCAGAAGTCGCCACCTCGGTAGCTGCCCACGGGTTTGTCGAAAGGAACGGTCGACGCAGTGCCGATGTCATTGCAGACGTAGGCGCAGATCCCGAAGCCTCCGTGGTGACGCTGACGATGGCAGCACTTCGTTTCTGGGCAGTCAGCATCAGAGAGGCATTTGGTTAGGGCTGACAGATGGGTTAAGCACGTTCCGACATTCCCTAAATGGAGATAAGCACTACTGATAATGCAGAGATACCCGAAGGCACGAACGGCGCTTAACATGAGCACAGTGACTTGTGTGAACCTATGTCCACCCATGCTACTCTTAAAGTACCCAAATACACTGTTACGATATGTGTGAAGTTGAAAGCCTCAAATGTTCGCCTTGAGCATCCAGATTAATGCCGTCTTCTGTAATTTCAGACCACCGTTTTTAAGTCAGACCATGAAAAGTGGTGTGACAGTACAAAGTAGTGGAGATTTGCTTCCTTTTATCAGGTCCTAATTCGATAACTTATGAAATTGGATTCGTGTGATTTTAATTACCCGTGAACTAAATAGTGGTTAACAACGGATTTTGATTTCGTGCGTTGAAAGCGTTCATAATAATTCAAGGCACAGAAAAGGCATGAATTTTCCTTGTCTGCAAGGAAAGTCGAGCACAGTAAAAATTTAGTAATTTGATAATCTCTCTACCAGTTTATTTACCTTCTAATTCAGTTCATTTAATTCAGTGAAAATGAATTTATTTCAGGTTCACTAACTTAAATAAAGAGGTCATGACAACAATCATTTGCTAAAATTACTGCGAAGTTAGCTGCTATAAATAATCACTCTGGAAAAAACGTTTCAACAAGATATTGTAAACAACGCACTCATAGTTTTTCCCATCTCGAGATTATAGATCACACCTTTAGAGACAGAGCAGTACGAACAGGTAACATGCCTCAAATTATTAATGTGTGCTACCTCAAGTGCTCTCCTTGTAGTCAGTTAGCCGCCAATATTTTCCTACTGTTTACTAAAATGCCTGCATCCTGGAATAACTCAGAAACAGACCTCATTTTTTTCGAAACGATTCAGTTGAGACCGAAGTAGGGGACATTTTTTGAAAATACCGGACTTGGAATCTCGTTAAAAATAAGGCAAACCTTGCACAGCGCAGTAGAGGCCTCTGCAACAGTGAGTTGAAAACATGCACTCCTCACCATCTTCTGAGCACTATAAGAAAATGAAGCACAAGTACTTTAGTTCCGATGGGGATTTGTCTTAGCTTAAAGCGCGGTAGGGTAGCAAACACGAAGACATCATCTGCACCCAGACATACAAGAGGCGGCTCGTGGTTCGATCATGCTTGGCCTAGTCTTTTAACATAATCGGGCAACAATTTTAACTAACCTAGAAATGTCTCAATGTTTTCAGGCGTTTAGTACTGCCCATAGCCCGCCTAACATAATTTGGCATAATCTACAAATGTCATCTGTTTTGTCTTAAATCTTTATTGTTGTGTTTATAATCCAAAAGACATCCCACTTCTTTTAGATGTGGTTTAGGAAGTTGCTTGTCCTGTCTTCACCATTTAAAAGTTTCAGAATACAATGCAAACGATTAGAAAGGGAGGTATCCAGTCGATTTTTGTGCTCAGGGTACCAACCGTTCACTAATCCACCACTGGTTTTCCTACTACAGCATTAAAGTATTGCAAACGGCCGGTTATTAATGGAAATATAACATGTATGCAGCCCATGAACGGCAAAGCTTAACTTGCATCGGAATTGAATGGAGACGTTCGGGAGTTTACGTCGATAACGCATAGGTTATTGGATTAAGGGTATTTAACAAGCGAGAGCAGTTTCAAACTGGTTAATGTCATCAAGCAAAATATTTCTCATCAATTTCAGTCTGTGGTAGACGAGAAACAACGACAAAAGCATACCAAGGGAAGTATAAGCATATTGAGACACAGTGCGCATATCAGTGGCCTAGCGGATAAGTTAGAATATTCTAAACCTCCGGCGCCATCATTCCAGACTGTGTGGTGACCTTTTTGTCTACTGGCGAAGGTAGCAAACCAGTTTAATTCACAGCAAACTTCACCATCCCCTCTACCCTGGAGAGGGTGCTTTAGTTTTAAACAAATACAGTGATTTCTTACATATTTCCGAAGAGCATTCTCCCCAAGAAGTCTCTGGTATCCTCGACTCTGGCTTTCTCCAAGCCCCACCAGGCAAGCCAGCAGTGCGATTGAAACAGCCGCCCTATTCATCCTCACCTGTTCTTAACTTCCAATGAATGGTGGTTAGATCTGGGATAGGCTACCCTACTTCAGTACTACTTTGGAAGCCTAAACTGGCCGTCACGACTATTCCCCCCACAACTGGGACTTGTGCTCCATTCAATCCGGTGATAAGAACCAATCAAAAAATTTCATTTCTAAGCCGCCAATCTGCGCCCTCACACGGCTCTGGAGGTCACGGATGTGTGGCTGTCTCACGAAACTTTGAACAGCGGGAAAATTAAAAATAAGGCTTCTCTTTTACGACTAGCAAATCTTCAGGTTCATAGGTGATGGCGATAAATTTTACAGGAGCTAAATTATTTCAATTACTTAGTATTTCAGTAAAAGCATGCCGACTTGCCACAAAGATTTACCGTCATTTTTCGTGTCAGCGCTAGAACCTGCGAGATTATGTTCCCTTGTGTTAAAACTCCTCGTGAAATCGTTACATGTTTTTAAATCTTTTTCCAAAAATTGATTCCAATTGTGCTTGCAATTCCGTATATAGATCAACCCTCAATTCTAACCTTGTTTTCGATCCCCACAGATTCGTCTTTCCCCACTTGGCCATATCAGGCTTCAGCTGACAGCAGGTGGATAAATTCATTTTCGTATGAAAAACGAAGAAGTTACATTAATTCGAGGATAGTTACAGTTACCGGGTGGAGGCCTATTAGGTGTATGACTTAATTTGTACAGATTTTTCTTCAAGTTTTAAATTTTATTTAATTATCGGTGATTTCGCGGTCTTTTGTGGTTTTGAGAGAACCGGACGCAGGTTTTCAGATCACTGAGCGATGGGACTACGTGAGTTACATAACCTTTCAGAAATGATATACAGTACATTCGATAGCATCACATGTTATGCGAATTATAACAAGAACAAAGTGCAGTCCATTTGCGTTTTTGCTTGTGTCTATTGAAACGTTTGATTAAAAATACAAAAGTTTTAGAAGTTGTGCTTTGGGTCTTATTGACTATCCGCGCCGGATAGAACTCTTGGAAGTGTTACTGGATAAAGACCCAACGCAAACGCAACAAGGGCTTGCAGTTCTGTTAAGAGTCACCCAAACAACGTTTGAACCAAATGGAAAAAATGTAACAACTTGGAAATTGGGTCCCACGTGTGCTGATCGAACACAAACTAGTTCAGCATATTTACAGATGCCTTTCACGGGTCCCTCGGCAACAAGCAGTGAACAGGACTTCCTGTAGAAAATTGTGGCAAATGACGAGAAGCATGTTTTTTACGAAAACTCTAATTCATCACATGAACCCCGAAATTTGACGTCCACTTGAAGAAGGTTCTCCTGGGTATCTGGTGGGGCATGGAGTGTGTACTTTATTACGGACTCCTGGAAGCTGGTCGTCAGACGCTGACATGGAACTCTACAGCCGATAACTAAACAAATTACGCAAAGAACTTGATCAGAAAAGGCGATTTACTGGGTAAGGAAGCAGGCAAGTCATACTGCTCCATGACAACCGTCAATTTCACGTTGCTCCCGCGACTCAGATGACCCACACGGGGGATATTATCCAGGCTTGACCCCTTCCCACTACCAGTTGTATCGGTCGATGCAGCAGCACATCTTTGTGGATAAATGGTTCAAAACTCTAGATGATATGCGTAAATTCGACCATAATGACTTCATTGACTCTAAGCCTGCAAGTTTCTTTCGCGATGGCATTCGTGCGTTATCTGAGAGATGCTGCAAGGTCGTGGAAAAAGATGGACAATATTTCCAAGATTAAGTTTGCTTTCTTCTATTCTTGTCTTTCAAACAAATTTACTGAAAAACCTGTAAAAACTAAATCCTTCACAAAAAATATCTGCTCAGTGTCTTATGTCTTTCAAATTTAAAAGCTATTAAACATAAATTTCTGAGCTTCGTCTGACTCCTAAATATTCACTGACTAAAAAAGACCAACTTCGCCTAATGTTGTTAATTCGAAGCACTCTAACTTATATATTTATCAACATATTTTTTTTAAAAACAGAGCCTGAATCAACCACCCGGAATTCTCTTTCTTTCTTTCTAAAATTAGCTTTTCTGCTAGCATAGTTTGAAGTTGGCTCGAGTCAAGATTTGTAAGGTTGCTCAATTAGATTAAATAAAATCTGGGAATGCCACCGGTATTTAGGACCTAGCTGTGGTTCGTTTGAGTCGATTTCTCTTTAACAAAAAAATTGTTTTTTACGACGTTAAGATTTCATTGAATTGACATGTTTGCAGTCTTTCATCACCTTAATAAAAACCTGCATCTAGTGATTAGCGATGCAAAAAATACAACAGCAAGCATAATTTGCAAAATCCAGGAACGCGCAAGCCTAAAAATTCGCATTTCTGTAGGGTTGGGACCTAATCGTGGATTTATCAGCGAAATGTGATTTTTACCTACATTTTTATCTACATTTTGGAATTCGAATGACTTCGGTTGAATGACTGCCTAAAAAGATGTCAGTCATGAAAACAGATCACAGTTGATTTTAGGCCTCACCAACTTAAAAGCTATTCGTAACAATTAGGTTGAATGTGCAAGCTTTGGTTTAAATTGTTCCTGACTGGGACACCTAGAATATTTTTTTTTAGCTATGAATAGATAAGGCAACACAGACGATCAGACTAGCTGCTCTTCGCTAACGCTGTTGTATTGCTCACCGCACGACAAGACCTCCTCTCAAGGTCTAGTACATCCACGTTGATATTTTTGGGCATCCAGTTCTGTTATTTACTCTTGTGTGAATGTCAATCCATGGTGCACACAGCCAGGGGCCAACAGTGAACCTAATCGATTGAGACCTCCGTTTCCGATTAATTCAAACAAATTAGTTTATGCTTGCCTCACGTGATATCAAACAATGGTCATAGAAAATCAGGCAACACTGGTTGTATCAAAACAGCCACAACAAATACCAGATCCAGTCTCGAAAAGATCTGTAAAAGGTTACTGGTAGATTTTTGTGAGTCAGTTCTCAACAAAGAATGGACGTAAAAGCCTAAGCTCGTCATAATGCTTCTTAAATCCCATGACTTCCCAAACGTCAACCCGTCCAGTTGAATTTAACTGAAGCGGTTGTTTGTGCCGAGAATAATAGGAGCAAATGAAATTTACTTAGACGAGCATCAGATTCAATTGAGGTGTGCGTGAAATTGTTACTTTGACTCTGCGAGCCAAAATAATGCAAGTGGTTTGTCTTCCCACCAGCTTTGCCACCAAGAAAACGAAATGGCATAAAAACACAATCATTCACTCTTGCCATGGAGCCCTTGTGTTTCCGCTGTCGGGCTGCCAGCAATGTTATCCGAGAATTCGGTCTCTGCACGCGATCGAAGCATTTGTCTGTTACCGTTAAATCCATTTTACGCAGAAAGTATGTTTGACTAGCGAGAGCAGCGGATAAATTTTGTCTTGATTAAATGAATAGTTTCCTTTGCACCAGGCTTTACCCCCCTTACTTCATATTGGACACAAGGTTTAATCAGCAATAATAGCAGCAACTGCGAATAATTCTTGTTGATTTCGCTGTTGCTCCCATATCTCGAAATCTTATATCCATTTAGAAAAGGACATGACGGTGAATCCACCTCGCTTACTTTAGAGGCAAATTCGCCTATCCAAAGGGGCAAAGCAAACAATCTAAAAATGTGATCATCCGACTCTTTATGAGCTGTGGCCTTTAATTCGCCACACTTTGCTAACACAGAAATTTGGGCTCGAACTCCATCATTCTTGATTCAGTTTTAAGCTAATATTTAGACACAGAACCCAGACCTCGATAACTTGTCCAAGATACAAGGATACTTCACCACGGCTCTACTGAAACACTAAGGGCAATCGATTTACATACCATTCTAACTCAGCTACCGGAATCCTTTATATGATCCGTTCATTTGAGTTTCATACTGTTTTCCACGGTGGTAATTCACCGTAAATAAGGAAGGTGATTGATGACCCACTGCCCGTCCAACTTATTCCATCTTACATGGCACTTAGGGGAACCACGGCATCTCTTTCAAGCGTACGTGTAAGACGAGGACAATGGGTGGTGGTAAATGTTTAAGGCCTTTTGTCGCGTAATATAGCCTTTGGTTACCAAAACCAACTTAATTTAAGTGCATCTGAGGTTGTATAGTTGTGTGAATTTCTGTTACATTTTGTCCGTAACCAAGACCATACACTCTGGTAACCCGTACCCCAGATCCGTTGTCTGACGCTAGAACCGACCTTCCCACGCCAGTTCAAGAAACAACCTCGCGTAGCGAGCTTTTATGGTCTCAGCCAAGGGCCAAGCGGTCTGTAGGACTTTTAACACTTTATAAGTCAAAAGTGACCTTGACTTGATGGATCAAAGCGGATTAACACAAATGAGCTGTCAGTAGGTTGTCATGGTGAATCACCCACTGAAGTGACGCGGTTATGGGAATTGTGTAAAGAATTGCGAAATCCTAACGCACGATGAGACGTCAAGGGGAATGTTGGATTCCCAATAATTTTCTAATATTGAAATGCATTTTAAAGGTTCGTCTTTAAGGTAAAATGGGCCACTTCGTAGACTACACTAGCAATGACGAGTATGCCAACTCTAATAACAATGGGCGCAGTTATACAACGTTCAGAAGAATTTGCGAATTAAAGTATATAATTTATTATTCGAATTAAATGATGCCTTAGTGAAATGCGGCATTTCAAACAGAGTGTGGTTAATTATAGCCTATGAAAGCATTGACACATAGGAGCATTTGCGTCACTCACTTAAGTTAATCTCAAAATAAAATATCAAACACATGCATTTTGATAATAAAACAGATCGCTGAAATAGAATATTAGACTTCTTGAATTGATAGAAAAATAAATGAAATCGACGAGCTCTTCATTTGACGAAGATGAGAATATAAATTTCAGCCATGTGACAATAATTTACCAACAACTAAATCCAATTTTCTGATGAGTCGTAACATTTAAGGGGCCAAAATTCTTAATCGCTTTTCTTTTTTCAGATTGAGGAAGATTTAGTTCATAGGCATTCCTAACTTTGCCTCACATACACTAAAATCTACCCTACACTATGCTGTTTTAAATTTTCATGAGATAATTCTTCAAGCGCAAGTGAGGTGTAGAGTTTTCGAAACCCATAAATATTAGTTTGTTTTTTAATGGTCCAGGCAATTTCAGCTAGGTGTAATACAGGATTCACGAGTACCACTCAAAACACCAAGGAATACGCATTATCCCGGTAATCCCCATAAAAATGCTTAACATTGTAGACCTGCCCAACCCTTTATGCGCGGATATGACTCAACTATAGAAACATTCTGAGGACTTATCATAGTCTGCTTTACCTAATCGTGTCTTGTATCCGTATCCTGTAAAAACAAATTTCGGACGTTCATGTTCTGTCGCTTATCTAGTATACCCTAATTCATAAGCCCGATTCCTCAAGCGATTAACTCATTGTGAAGGGCATAAAATGGAACCTGGCTCTCAATTTAATTTAAACTAGCTAAATTCGTCGTTAAATTTGCCAAAAATTGCCCACCCGATCCTCTGAAAAAATAAATGGTTGATTAATATTAAGTCGTTTGTAATTACTAAAAACGAAACAATATTTTCATTTAATAACAAAACACTGGAAAAAATTACTAAACGCACAATTGTGCTTAATTTAAACATTAACTCGCTTTGAGATGCTAGTCTTGAGTTCAAAAGTTAGTCTTGAAAGTGTGAAAGGTATGGCCATATATATTCTTGCCTACCAGATCGTGAATTAACCGATAGCAAAAAATAAGATGATAGTAATAAGTCTATTATTTCCTCCACATCTTCACCGGAATAATATTTTCTGTTCTGCATCCTTATTTACCCATTATTCGAAAGTAAATATTCTTATTTTTTTTGGATAGGTCAAATCACTCTTATGTATGTGAAAATTTTCTAAGGTCTCAATCACAAATTACAAAATATCTTAATTTAAATGTTCCTAAATGTACTGGGTTAAAACACAAAATACAAAAATTTTTAAAGCTAAAAAATACCTTTCCTTGGTTTACAATATATATATTCCCAAAGTTAAGCACAATTGCTATATCAGCTGATTTATTTTGTTTTGTTTAAATCGTGGCGATTCAGTTGCGCTCGTAAAATATAGCCTTTTCGGGTTACATAAGAAATTGAATTTTGGGCGGTAGAAGTTAAATGTATGCATCATAAAAGGTTAGCTTTTACGTTCTGCGCTCTAACTCTTAGAACTTTCTTAATATGCTGTCTTGACACTCTTAGTGTTCCATTGTGTTATTGTCACTATTTTATTTCTTCGTAGATGCAAGCGCATGGTGAACAAGAGGCTGCCAATATTTATGGTCATCTTTTACCAAATTTTGAAAAAGCAGTTACTCCTGATTCTCGCAGCCGAATCGATGCTCTATTACGAGAGTTTTCGTCATTCAAAGACACAGAGAAGCTCCTTTTTTGCTTGTTACTTCCGACCGAACCTAGTGGAATCTGTTCTTCGAGCCTAGCCGACGATGAGATTTCCGCCAATGGGTTCGAAATCAATAGTCTTGGTGTGGGGCTTTTTAGTGGTTCAGGGTGTTCCTCTCTCCATCTCTCAAATCAAGTTGAGCAGAGCCAAGCGTACACATGGATTATGTCACACCTTGAGGAGGACGCATCTACTTGCCTTAGAAAAGATGAAGTTTATGAGGACTACCGGTTAGTCGTGTGATAGCATTAAATTGTTCCGATTCGTCAGAATTTCATCTATTTATACATTTGTACTTTTGTGCCGTCAAACAAAACCTCAATAAAATTGTGCAGTATCTCAGGCCCTTACTAACGACAATTCCGAAGAATTTAGTTAGTTGGAGTGGTTATGCTCCCACTTCTTTTCAGTCTCTGCAGTTAGGCATCAATTTTCATTTCGACCCGTGATCGCGGTTTTCACCGAAGACTGCTCTTATTTGCACCTTTTGAGTTTTGAGTTAGACTATTTTAAAACTTAAATAAACTCCAACATTCCTGTGAGCCCCTCTTATCGTCAATCTTATTTTTATAGTACATTATTCTACTTGTTAGCCTTAGAACTGATAACACCCCTTTACTGGTTCCCATTGTCCATTGTAGGTTATACTGCGAGAAACACAACCAGAAAACGCTTAACACGGCTGATTTTGGAAAGGTTATGAAGCGAGCCTTCCCCAATGTCAAACCCAGGCGACTAGGGCAAAGAGGACAATCTAGGTAAGATAAAATAGTCTACTTTGTACCTCTCTCTTTGGTCTTAATCAAGATGCTATTGTCTTAAAAAGAATAAAGACTCATGTGTAAAAATTACAAGCCGGTTTGTTAAGGTTCTTAGTTGTGTATTTTTCTTTGTTTTTCGTGATCTTATCAATATAAAAAGTGATGTGAATCGGGTCGCCAGTTTCTCTAAATTTTTTCGTCCTATGTATAATGGTCTGCGACCCTTCCTTCATAGATCAAGTTAACCGTTTTCCCAAAACACTCGGGTTGATGTTCCTAATCTGATCGTAGCCAACTTACAGTGCTGTAGAATGAGGAAATCGCTTTACCAGTTACCCAGGTACTGGGGGTCGTAGAACGTAACTAGTGCAACCAAAGTTAGTGACTTCTGTTTTGTTGTATAAACTGGACAAAAACCACGTTGTTTTCCGGCGGTTTAAGTGTGTATCCGTAGTCATATGTGCTTTTTATGTAAAGTAGGGGACTCGCCTTCTTGGTCGTTTCCATGCGGTGAATTAATGAACAGGGTAGATATTTTCGATAACCCATTTACTTACATCTTGCTATGTCTACTGAAAACGTTTTCACACCTCTTCATCAAATGATCTACCATGGATGACAAAACCAAATGGTTTTGTCTGTGTACAGCTTGATCTTGTACACGGAACCTTAATGATTCTACCTTTCCCATAAACTGATTTTCATGTGACGATTTCGTTTTGGGAAACATAGTATATTTTAGTGTTGGTTCCTTTGCTGTTATTCATTATAGGCAAAAATTAATCGCTACAGTCGGTTTCCAGACCTGAATCCTGGGAGACTGTTTTGTTAAATTTCTTGGAAGCGTACAATTCGTCAAAATCGACTCCTAATTTATTTTACGAACGAGAAATACTTTAGATTTCAGAAATAGTATTTTGGCTTTTTAACAGGCCGATCCTGTGATCCGTTATAAGTGCAGTCTGGTCGATATATGTGTAAGTGATCGTTTTCCACAAATGCTGTATACTCGTTATGTAGTCTCGCACGAGAACTTCCATCTCAGTATATGTGTATGGTTGGATCTCATTCATGCATCTGGCAGAAATCATGACCTTTTTCATATTTTCACCATCTTCCATATGATTAGATAGTCACTCGTTGATCTTCCTGCTTCATGAAATTCTTCCACAATCAGTAAATCCTTTTTATTCTGACCTAGAATGTCAAGGGTACTTGACCTTCGATACTGCGTTTTCGACCGCTTGGTGCTATCAACAAACTCACGTTTTTGTAGTGCTTCGACTAGTAATTCGTTGTATCGGGACGTCGAAATTTCGAAGGAAGGCCTGCTGTAGTGTAGGCCCTGTCATGTCGTTTTCGACCACATTTGGTACATTGCTGATGTCTTTGTGCTTTGCCAGCCGACTTGACATGAAAATCCGTTTATGGGTGAATGCACGCGGGAAGCAATCATAAGCGCCTGAAAGTTGGGTTAATTTGTGTCAGTGTACGTACCCTTCTCAGACACAATGGCCGACTTACACGCCCAACCACCCACCAACGCATTCATCATTTCACAAATTCGCAGACTCCTCTCGCCCCCTTAAGGCATCTGTGGGAATCATTGGGATTCCTTTGTTCACCCCACTGTCAGGGTTTCGGAGGTACTTTCATAGTACGCGAAAGACGCGCTTAAAATAGGTTGCACATAATTTCCATGCTTTGTTTCCGACACAATCGTAATACCTTATAAGTTTTCGTACATATTATTATGCTTGTGGATTTGGCTACCAGTAAATTGCTTATCTAAATTACTTTTCCTGGGCGCCAATTCCAGCAAATCGGAATTGTGTCGGGCTCATTCGACAGGTTTCATTCAATGCTAATGTTGTAAAACGAACCGATCCATCTGACTTGCTCTAATTTGTTCAGGTATTGTTATGGTGGTATGCGGAAAAAGCTTGAAGTTCAACCACCATCCCTCCCCGACCTAACGGCTGAGTTATCCGCCCCGACATTGTCCACCAACTTCCGTAGTGCTTCCTCGTCAGTCTCCTCAACCGATGATCACCGGTCTAGCCTGCGTGGTGAAGCCTCGTCCTGGTTTTCTGAAGAGGTTCGAGGTGTGCTTGGAGTTACTGGACCTGTTTTAGCTGATGTGGCTAACGTCCTTTTGGAGTACGCCCAGAATGTATTCGGCACAACATTCACTTCACTCACCAAACTGGCAGAACACCTTGTCGCCAATCGATACGTCAGTACGCGTTCTCGCCACTCCTTTGCATTGATTGCCCATATCTCCAACAATCCTTCCAACTCGACCCCTGTCACTGGGTCTTCTAGTCTTTCAAATATGCTTCTTAGTCCATCTTCGGCAGCCGCTGGTGCCTTCGCTGAAGCTCTTCAGAAAGGTATGAATATAGGAAGCATTTTGCCATGCAACTCAGTGGGTCTTTATTAATATGTGATTTTCGAATGCTGGGAAGCTCTTGGATTATTTCCTGTAAGCATTGGGACTTCTCCATTGTAGGTGTATATGGGCAAGCTCATAGACAATCGCTTGATTGTTACCCCAATTCATCCGATGCCTCTGGGATAGGACTGAAGCTTTCGAATTCAGCTCATTCTTCTCCCATTATTTCAGGAAAGGAGGATGTGAAAAAAGAAGGTTAGTTTATTCAAACCCCTGTACTTCTCTATATCAACTGTGTCCTTATTTAGCCATTAGCTTGTTGATTGTTCGTTGAGATCTACCAAAGTATCCTTGGAGCTTAAACAAGGCTTCACTACTCATGTTTGGGAGTCACACGACCGGCACAAATCACATCTTATGAATACGACGTTTTGGTTAGTAATTAACTCGTCACTGCGTATTCACTGGTTCCTTTGACTATATAATTTCCCAAGTCCTACCGAACAAGCCTTTGTCATTCCCCAACATCGATGTCGTCTCGTAGACTTAACCTCTCGCCTTTTTCCACTCTCTAGTAGTTGATCAAGATTTGTCATGCGTGGAGCTGCCAAGTGTACGCAACACCCGTACGCCAACAGTGCGCGTAAGCAGTGCCGGGGCCACTGCCGCGGCTTCCTCGTTGTCTCAGACGCCGCCGACAACAGCTAGCCAAGTGGCTGGCGGCAGTCTCTTTCCCTATCGCAGCCCCCTTTGCACGAACAACTACGACAACAGCAGGGCTGAGCGCTCTCCCAATGTCACCGCCTCTACACCTGCTGTGACGTCAGCCTATCATATATCCCCCTCTGCGCATTACCCCTTCACCCTGTCTCAGGTAACGTTTTCTGCTTCACCCCATTTCACATTATTCTGCGTGGTGGAAGTATTTAGACTCTGACGATGTGTCCGTTCATAAGGCCGTATTCATCTATCTTCCTTTTTTTCTTTTACACGTCTCAATTTCACCACAAGGCACTATAAAGCTCTAATTTTCGGGGATTTTTCATTCATTGGATGCCGCCCTGCAATAAATGCCGCACGAAGCCTTTGCTATCATCCAGCAAATGCCAGATGTCGTCCACGTCCCACTTCTGACGCCTTGATCATATGATGAATCTCGAGTGTCGTTCTCGTGGTTTCTCACACATTTCCAACACTCCTTTTTTGAAGTTCTCTATCGTCATCACTGTCACTCTCGATTAGTTAGATGTTATTCTCGCATTATTAGCTGTCTATTCGCAAGTCGTTATAGGCTTATCTGAAGTCCGCATGTGTAGGCTGATACCGTGCCGTCGGCGGGGGTAGGTACTTAGAACTGCTTTGTTTAACTAATCCTATAACGCTGACATGGGTTTTTTACGACGTTTTTGTCATTTTTTTTTAAATGCGCTTTTGTGCAATGGCCTTGTGTGAAGCCGAAAATGGGGCCTATGCTTGCTGGGGTTGGTGATATATTCGCTCTATGATTTCCTAGAGTACGAAACCACCAATTTTACTTTGGAAGAGGTGCATCTTTAATACGCACCGCGATTTACCCACTTCCGGGTCCCATGTTTCTGTCATCGTTCAGGCGTTACTAGCACACATTTCGCACATTCGAAACTGGAATTCGTCTTTTTAGCAAAACTTAACCTTAATGACTTGTCAGTGTAGCTTGAGCGCATTGGGATATTGTATCGAATCGTGACTTCACCACAGACGTCTGGGTGTTTTATCCTGTTTTATGAATCCTCTTCGGCCTTGCTTTTTGGTATGAGTAAAACCTGTGGTTAGAGCCTGCAAAGAAGAAGTCTAAAGCTTTTTTTCTACATTGTCTTCAGTTCTCAACTACCTCGGCTTCAATACTTCAGAACCCGGCTGGAAAGCCTTTGGGGTCGACCTATACCGGCATCTCTGCCTACCTCCAACCACCACAACCCTACGCGCACTGCTCGTCTACCGATCACAGACGAATGAGGTACCTGCTCTCATTATCCTTCATTTCTACAATGCTCCCTTTCTCAATGCATTCTGGTCCGTCGCACTAATTGGGTGTTTCATGCTATTAACATGGTTTTTACGAACCCCACACATGCTGGATTTTGTTTTTTAGTTTCTCAGATGGCACACCCTCGTACCTAGCTCCCGTAGCTGGTACTGGTGCTTACTGCGCATCGACCCCATCCACGCCCTACGGTAATCGTGGTCTCGATGCCTCCGCTCCTTACGCCTCGTACACGGGCGCATTCGCTCCCCACTCGTCGTCGTCGTCGTCCGCACTACCTCACCAGCAGCCGCCTGCTCCTCTCCCGCCTACCGCAGGTGTGCGCAACCCCTACACTCCGATCGCATCCTACAAGAGGACACCCAGTCTGCTGCCTGTCGATGCTCCTGGAGCTAATGAGCCCGTCGTAAGTGGTTTTTTGTTTGTTTAGCACCGATCTTCATCTCCCCTCCTTTGTATTTACGTGAAATCGTTCGTGTTCGCCTGTTCCATCCACTTTTCCCTCTAGCAACGTCTTTCTTGGAAGGTCGTTTTAGTCATCAGGTAGTTGGCCCTCGTGCTAGTCCTCTTGAGCAGTTTCGGACTTTGCAATAAGTACCTCGAGCTGTGTACCATGCTGTGTGGCGCGTCCCAGTTCCTGTCCAGCCGGCTGAAATTGCACTCATTCCCACCCACTGGGTGTGCATGTGAACAATCCTCCTTTGGGAGCAGTCACTCCCGTCCCGACACCATTCTTCGGCTCTTTATTCAGCCTGCCCCTCGTCCTATATTCCGCTTGTTGATCAGCATCAACGTCAGCAACACCGTCAACTCACTCCTCCTATCTGCTCACTCCTCGTTTTTACTCCCTTTGTATCGCCTTCCCGCCTTAAATTTGCCAAAATGAGTACTTTTTATCAGTCCGCTTGACGTTCCCCTTGTCAACTTTTTTCATAACCGCACCGTGTTTGGCGACGAATTGCAGGCGCGATGACGAGGGCTTAAAATTCCCCTCCCTTTCGCCCCTCTGTCTCTTCGAGCTCCTGCTGCCCTTGAGAAAAGTGGAGGACATTAGGGCAATAAAAATGGCTTCCGCGTTGTTGCCTTGGGGTGGCGGTGAAGCTGATTTCGTCTTAGTGGGTCAATTCCTGTTAGTCATCTTGTCCACACGCCTCCCAACGCGCTTGTAGCAGTGAGTCATCTAGCCTTCACTTGGGTTTATAAATTCATGAGACAGCCGTTTGGCTTTTATGTAAACACTGGAGGTTCGCGACGTCCCACCCATGTCTAGCACAATTTAAGTGGGCCTGTAACTTCACGTTTTCATGTAATTAATCCTGGGTTTGCGCTGTTTCACTGTGCACTATCGCCATCATGCCTCATTTGGGAATCTAATGCGTTTTGTGCATGGAATCCGCCGCAACTGCTCATCTTCACAAAATATCTAACGTGGGCTGGGAATAATTTAAGCTGAAAGAAAATTTCCCTTGGACAGAGGATCACCTCTAAATGTATAAATGCTGTTTTGTTTTTCCAGACACGAGTTCACTTGGGTGGGCTGAGTCCGACAAAACAGGTGAACTTCTTCGACCTTTCTCATGATATCCGAAGCGGGACATCTGGAGATTATGCTCGTGTCTACCAGCCTCAGGCTCCCGTTGCTGTCGCCGCTGGCGCGTCGCCTGCCAATCGACCTGGCTCAGGCCCCCAACCACAGCACAGCACTGGCTACTACCGTGGTCGGTACAGCAACTTGGGTCTTTTGAGTCCAGCCACGTCCTGTCAAGCTTCTCCCGTGCCCAGGTTGTCCACACCACCGACCAGCGAATCAAGTGTAACTCGACCGTCGCAAGTAAGGCTCTCGCACTTTTGTGTGTATTGCTATCTTGAAGTGGTTGGTTGTTGCTTCCAGCCTCCTGCAACTGGATTCGTTTTCAATGCTCTTGTCACGGCCTCGTGGTGATAATTTGTTATCAACGTAAATCACCACCCTGTAGCAAGTAATGCCCATTTGAATTCCACGGCACAGTGTGACACCCCCTAGATTATGCATCATCACACAAGATGGCCTTGATGCTTGAACTTGTTGTCAATTTTCCAGATGAAGCAATCTACTTTGACCCGAGCAACTGACCCTTATCGCGGCTCAGCGGCATCCCCCTTCGACATTCATATGAACGATGGCGGTGATGACGGCTTTGATTTCGACAGTCTTCCCCGTGTCGGTGCTTCTCCTTGTCCGCCAGCTATTCCACCCAGTTCACCTACTGAATTCCTTTCGTTTTATTCCGCTGAAACTGCTGCACGTCGGAAAGTAAAACAAAGGACTTCAGAAGACCTCGACCGCACCCTCACCAATCTATCATCTGATGGCAACGGGTCTGGCAATGGAACCAGCCCTCAACCAACCAATGGGAACCAACCTTTGCGCATCCTAATTGGCCAAGACGATGAACACGAAACTAATCTAGTCATCAAGCGTAAGCTATCGTCTGGTTAAAACTTTTACCCAATTGTAGCCCAATTTTGTTTGTTAAATAAACGCCGTCTTTGCAACACAGGAGAAGATATGCATGACGCGTTGTTGACCCCATCTGGCGAATCAGAAAGCACAACAGCCTCTCCACCAGTTACTCCTGGTCGCGAGCGGTTCGCGAGTTCCCTTGGCGGCAGTAATGGTGTCAAGTGTCCTGCCAACACTTCTGTTGCTCCCAGTCAGCGACCTGTTGCTTCATCCTCCACTAAAGACGAAGTGCGTTCTCCTACATTTCATTGGTCCACTGCGTTTAGGCATTACTGATCTTTTCAATACTGGAAATGGCTTTTTTAAACACAGTTATTGCCTTTATTGCGGCGTGGTAACAGTCACGTGTGACTTCAACCTTACTACAGGCCTTCAGTATTGTGTGTATGCCAGTATCAAATCAGTCTAATTTACCTCCGATTTTGTTTTACTCGGATTACAGCAAATCCAAATTCTGCCTTTGTGGCTGATGCATAACTTTCTAGACCTTGGATTAACAGATTCGGCGTTGACTAAAATTTGTTCACTTATGGCCTGCAATAAATGCAAACGCTTACTTCCATGTTTTTTTATTTCTCAGAAACCCTCATCTACCGATGGTACTTCCGTTGCTGCGTTTTGAAGGATTGACGCCTTTATCTCAGCTGATTCCTTAAAAATTTCAGGGAAGCCTTTTGGCTTGTGTTTTCTGTTCCGTCCTTTTACTACTACTTACCTTAAGATGCATTTCTGGGTGTGCATCACGTATACTCACTCGTATCCACGCATTAGGTGCATGGCACGCTCTCTTGTACAGCAGACTCCTTTTCTACCCAACACTCTCCTTCGACGCACCTTGTATTTTGAACAACACCAAAGTTATCGCGGACCTTTGGGAGAAGCATTTTGAATGACAACCCACCCGAGAGTACAGACTTTCCTTCAGGAGAGACAGTATTTGTTGTAGACCTTTGCTATTTTTACATTCATAAAGATAACATTTTTCAATGTGTTTCTTTTTTTCTGTTCAACCTAATTTCTACTTCTGTGCTGTCGCCCATTATCAGGCAAACTTACCGATTCGTATTTGTGATGTGTGGCGTGCTTCACGTGTTTTGCCCTTTTGTCTAGAAGTTCTTGGAACAAAGAGGTCTGTGTGACATGAATGCTTGTAGACTGGATTTTCTGGGTCCCAATCGCGTGGCTGCATCGCTTGTGTGACAGTCATCAGAGTCAGTGGTAGCCTTGGGGCAGGTGGTAGTCGTCATGAGCTGGATATAAGGCCGCCATGAGGTGTTAACGAAGCCCAAGTCGCCTAAGGCAACTTCGTCAGAACGGACGTCCCTCCTACTCTTGTGGCATCTTCAGGTCACATTTTAGAAAGACTGTTTTCACAATATCGCCAATGCTTGATTTGTCCATGATATACGTTGTTTACGCAAAGTTGAGCCTAGAAATCAGCTTGAACAAATTAAATATTCAGGCAGTTACCGACAGCCGTCTCGATACTGTTGGTGAGCGTTTAAAATGCAGAAGTGTGAGGTAGTCATCAGTCGTGTATGTCAAGGTCAGTGTGATGGACGTAACGTGAACTTATTTAATAGATATGTGCTCATTGGACAGTTACATTCGGATATTTGTCCATTCAAAAATGCGCCTACAAATAATTGCGCACGTTTAAAATGTAGAAAAATATAGTATTTTTGATGTTTTTACTGGGGTTCAGAGCTTAAATGCGGTCCTGCATTTTCTATTTAAGGACGCCTCTAGAAAGAGAACCACTTGTAGGTGTCTCCCTTACTGGACCATTTCAAACCCCTCCCTAAGTTACTTGTCGCTCTGCTCGATTATATACAGGTGTCAACGAAATAAGATATTCCTTGTGATTCACTTCATTTTGTTCAGCAATCGATGCTTCTCTTTACCTTGGTAGATAAACTTGAAAATGTTTTTCTGAAAATTCTGTGCTAAACTTTTATGCCTGCCTGGTTCTCTGACCAAGCGGGATAGACAAACCCGGGATTTGTCGACAGCAGTCAAGGTCGTTCAATCATGTCAGGGCGTTGCATTTGCGAGCTATGTGGAGCGCGTACCTCGTAGACAAGTTGACCGTCATTGTGTAATTAGTGCCCAAAGGAAGGAAAATTAATGTTGGGGTGGACATTACCATATTATTGCAAAATTTTTTAATTGCAATTAATTCCTTAACCTATGCACAAATTCTCTTTTCAAAGTTTTAACCAAGTGAATTGGAATGTTTAAATTCGTTCTACTTTCAATTAAATTTTTTTCTTTGACTTATTTGAGCGTTTTCAGTTCCTTAGATAGCCGTGCATGAAGAGCCATATTAAAAATTGAGTTGTCGCAACAATCGAGAACTCATGTGTGCGTTGGTCAAATAAATACGGCGGCTTCGCTAATTAGCAATCCACAATTAATTGTCAGACTAATAATTCGAAGTCTCAAGTAATAATTTATCAAAATTAAGGGGTTTTGGTGCCCCCTAAAACATCCATCTTCACATCCTTGAAGTTTTGTAAACTGTGACATCATTTTTGCTGCAGACGTAACTTGCACACCACACAATCACACCTGACGCAGTCTTCCAAATACGATGTCACTGAATATTAATTAGTAGCAATGTCGGTACTTTATTTCTATTCCAATGGAGGTCTGCATCAAGAAATGGCCTTTGAAAAATAGACCAGTATCTGTTGTTATTGGTCATTCAATTGAATCAGAGATAATAATGACCATTTCTGCTATCTGAGTTAGTAGCAGCATCTCAGTTGCTTCAAAAAGGATAAGATTTCCTAAAATGAAAGTGAGCAAATGGTTCGGGGTTTGGTGTAAATAATTAGCTCACAACTTAAGACTTTTGATATTAACGTAAGGTGGAAAAGGTGTACTATTCAGTTAAACCCAGTTACACTTTGAGATAACTGCTTGTTTAGAGTTTAATAATATTTTAATTTAAAATTAAGACTTCAGGGATTTAACGCTACATTCGACCATGAAATACCGTTGTTACCTGTTCTTTGCCCGTTTCTTCATTATTACCATCCTACCTTCCTTAAAACACGTCTGTGGCCTGAAAGCAACCGGACTAGCAGCCATCCGCTTCCACTCACAATGGAAATTTTCCTCATAAGCTCTGGCAATCAGCATTCGTACCTGGTAGTAGGGAGTATATCTGGTTTCTCATATTATTCTTTTATCGCATGTTTGGTTATCAATTTTGATATTATGTCTGCCTCAGAAGATCAAGCTAAAATTGATCTATCCATTTAGGACCCGCTATGTTGTCAAGTTACAGGGGTTCCACGTATTCAGATTATCGAATGTTGAGTAAGTCGTTTCATGCCAAAAGCTACAAAAGAAAATTTAATTTATTCTGTATCCATAGTGCTTTTTGTTGCAGGTAATTGTTTAGTTCCGACTGGTAATTACGAATGTTTGCACAATTTTCTACCTTTAATGTCAACTGAATTTCTGCCCATTAAATTCTATAAATCTATGAATAACACAAATATGCACTCAAGTAAAGTTGCAAGTTTAAAAAATATTCAAAAGGAGTCAATAAATACATGTTTACACTTATCACTTTTGATTTCCTTTGTTTCATAACATTGCATCTGGCGACAATTTAATTTTCTTAACGCGCTATCGTGGTAACCGTTGAATTTTGCTTGTATATTCGTAACCTTATTCAGTAATTATTTATATTTGCATGCTTTTTGCCAGATAAATGTATAATTAATTATAATTAAGTATCTTGTTTAGTTTAGCGACTGCTCATTTTGATTAATTCGGTTCACTGTATCCTATGATCATCCTGATATGGCGTTTTAAAGTTCAATCAAGCAGTAGGAAATATTTGAAATATTTCCTATAGACAATTTTAGTGCTTATTATTTTTATTATAGATTGAACTCTTTAAGCCTTAATTATTGTGATCTCAGAGATAGTTTGTTTGTTAATAGTGGTTTAAAGGAAGAATCACATATCTGGCTATTTTGCTTTCTAAATGCCTCCATGCAGCTCCCTGAACTGATTTTTTTGAAGTATTGCAGCTTTGTATTTATAAGAGCTACGTAACTACCCTTCATTGTCCATAGTGATCTAAGTTTGAAGTAAAGGTATGTATCGCGTGGGTTATTCCAAGAAATTCTTATGGTGAAAATTTGAGTTGATAATTTGTCCAACCAAAATTAGGTGTTGGCGCAATCATGCCTGCAGCATTTCGGCATTAATTGATGTCTTATAATATCTTTAACGACATTTCTTGTATTATTTTCAATATTCTAAATGTAGCCGTCATCACATGTTGCATTCAAGAAAAATCCATGATAAAACATGCAAATACTGCTTTAAATTATTGATTATCAAATCCAGGTAATCTATTCTGATTTTTAAGAACATGCTGTTGTTCGGTATGGCACAAAATATAGGTATAATGAAGTGTTGTAAACTTAAAACGTTTTCATAGACAAGTTCTAACTCAATTTTGTACTTCATTTAATGCGTTGTTCTCTTCATATTTCCTGGTTGTATAAGCTGTTTACACAATCAAGTCTTTAAACACTGAATATTGTTTAATGGACAAAAGTTTCCATATCACAATGCCGCCATAATTTGAAGGTTAGAGTTTGAGAACGCAAATCCGAAAATGAGAAAGTCTAGATTAGTGAATGCTAACCCTACATGTACTACTTATGTCCGTTTTCGTAGAAACTTTTAGACCTAAGTTTTGCGCCGTCATTTGAATAACTGTTGATGAAAAACTTTCTTGCATAATGTTGTAATTCTTCTATATTTAGTTTTTTGATCATCTGATTTACGTCCTAATTTAATCAGTAGCGCGTTTGTGTGACTGTTGTAATTTACTCTTAGCGAATGCGCAATATCACTTGTCAAATAGTAATGAAAATATTTATGATTTGCCAAAATTACTTTTTTACCATATTTTGCTACATGGGCACCGATAATTTGCCCCTGTTTCACGTTTTAGATGACAGCTGCTGGCCAGGCGTACTCCCTCAGATCTAGCAACCGCAGTGGGCGCATAGAAATACCTAGATATAATTATCGTGAGGGAAAATTAAAATCCCAATGCTTCCAGTACGGATGGTACGTGCCCTCTGAGCGAAGGTGGCAAAAGTACCAACGTTATCATTCACTGCCGCCGTTGACTCGACGAGACGCCATCGATATTCAGAGGGAAGATGATTACATCGGGCTCAAAATGAAACTCAGCAGGCATTTCGGTATGTTAAATGTTTTAGTGAGGTACCGAAATTGCGAAGTAAATATTCACATGATATTTTAAAGCCGCTTATGATAAAATGTTCCACGCAATTTTATATTTCGTTTGAAAATAAACTGTGCTAAAAATGTCAGTTAAAGCAGCACTTTCTTTTGCAGAGAATTTGCGGTATTTCGCATAAACACAAACTGATTTTTCTCAAAAATCTATCACTTTGTGTTATGAGTTCGTCCCAAGTCCATGGCCGCTGATCGCGTTTTGGTCGAGATGTCAGTTCTGATTATAAGCGGTGCCCAGAAAGTTACTGATGTGTGTTGTAATTTTAAATATTAAAAGAATATTGCCATCCCCCAAAAAATAAATAAAAAATGAATACATATCAGCAGTTCCTAGTTGATATGTTAATAAACCATCGTTCCCCCCTTAATTTAATACAAACCTGTTTTTCCCTTGTACAATTAGAGGTATCATTATGCAAAAAATTATGTCTCAAGTATCTGTGGCTCGCGGGTGCTAAAATTTGAGAATATCAACAAATGTTGAATAAGTAGGTCATACCTATATATTTTAGCAAAGCTGTAGTGCCGTCAACTCTGCAAATTCATAATTTTGACCATGATTCATTTATAATCCCATTCACTATTTACCCTTTAAATCATCTGCCTTAAATGACTCCTCCATACCCCGCATCAGTGTGTTTGTTCCCCTCACCCCCATTGTTTACATATTCCCCGCACATGGTAAGTCAGGAGCAACCCGATCTACTCGTATTGTTAGACTTAATGCCAATGACCCCTCTCGCTTCCGTATCACTTCGTGAGTAAATTATGGATCCTTCGAGTGTGACTCACTTTACGATCTGATCGAGGAGCACATTGCATCCCGGCGAATAGCTTGTTTTAAAACGAAAAACCTGTCCTAGATTCAAGAATGCCTCGAATTTGCGAAGACTAATCACGTCATTTTAGCGACTGGTGCCCTTCCCGGCATGTTCTAAGGGAAGTTCACGACACTTGTGCTCATTATTTCTGCCAAAGGTTATGACCTAGGTCCAAACTGGTGGGTTTATTACCGGAAGTTGACGAATTCAGATAGTTGACTTTAGTGGAATACCAGTAAACAAGGCATTGAGGCACCACAAAATACCAGTGTAACGCGTGTGTTACGCCTTAAATTATGGCAGACTAACTTAGTGTATTGACACTTATATTAATTTGTGATTTGTAAACCACAGAAAAATCCCTGCTCGGGAATCTGCCAGGGGAAGTACCGTTTGTTAAGTGGAACGGTCATCAACGCATCCCCCAGGAGCCCTGTCTTCCGGACTACTTTCCTATTTGCTTCAGTCAATTCACGGATTACCCTGGTGACTACCAAGAAGTGAGTTTATGCTGGATCCCCACCAATCCCGTGCCCACAGTCCATCTTGAATCTCAGGTTGTTGCTTGAGATTCGGCATTTTTTAATGGATTTCTGACTCATTGAGTACTTTTTTTAAGATATCCAACATATTTCGACGCAATTGTGACTTTGTAGAACAGCTTAGACCCTCACCGTCAATATCACGGCCGACAGATGTGTGGGACTGCAAGCAACTTAGGAAGTATTCATTAAGAGTAATTAGACGGGTGCCCGTAACAACTTTGGATGAAAATAGGGTTGCAACTTCATTTGTTTACGTGGAATTTAAATGACTATGTTCAGTGCATTACAAAAACGTAACTTCGCAGGCGAAGCCCCCACTTACACATAAAACTCAGAGGTTATGCACTTACCTAAATCTAGGAAATTACGTTATACGTTACGTTTCGCGTTAGCATAGTCACACATGCGTAGCACTATGTGAATGAAAACAGCGGCGGGTAAACGTAGATTGAGACCTCTTCGTAAAACCACCATCACGACTAATTCCGCCCTGAATATGACATAAAACAACTGCGACCAACTACTTCGTATGTCTCATCCTCAGTTTCACTATGCACCAGTCAGTTTTTACAAATTGCTTGCATAACAATCTTTGTTTACTGCTGCACAGGCTCTGGATTCATTCAACCGCCCTGATTGCAGGCCACCACGACCAGGATGTTGTACGACAAGATGCGTCCTCAATGGCTGGGTCATAGCCGAATGAAGGAAGTGATAATGCTGGACAAAGTAACTGCTTCTACTTACCAAAGTAGAAATTCCTTTCTTTGATTACATATTAATTTGAAATTCTACAAGGGCATGTGCCACTTTTTCTGATTCACAACATGCTGCTCGATCGAACAAAAGCATTTGATGCAGCTAATCAGGGTTAGAATTACTTAGATACCTTGTAAAAAGAAGCTAACCCTCACCTCCAGATGCTCATAGGACAAAGAATACGAGAGAAAATATTTGTTAAAATTTTCAGATTGCTAGCACATGTAATCGTGTGGGGTGGAGTCAAGTGAATGCAAAATGGAACCATTTTTCCACATTGTTTTCCGTGTGCAGAGGTAGATACCAGGGGGGTTGTACATATATAGTGATGGTTGGGACGGCGTAAACAGGAAAAGTGCACTTGAAAGACGTTTACTGGCGTTGTTGCATCTTAGTAGACTGTAGTAGGTGGCCTGTGTGTGCTCACAGAACACTAAACTGTGGGATGACTGTACAAAGGGATTTTCACTAAAAGGAGGGAACAATTTTTTTCTTTATTAGCACGATTTTCACAAGCAAAGTACCAGAGCAAATCCACAGTGACATGCCTTGTAGTGGTTCTCTGGATGCACTGGAAAACATTAGGCACTTTGCAGCTTTCTTGTACATTTCCTGGTTGTTTCAATCAAGGTTCAAATCACGTGCCCAAGAATTGCCCGTATGGGCAGAATTGAGAGATACGCCATCCTTATTTTTGTAGCTGTGGAAACAACCACGAAGGTAATCCATATTAGGGAGGCAATGAAACGGGATTACCACATTATAGCGAAATCCAGTAAACTCGCAGAATTCCGTAACTTAATCTGCCCAAAAGCCTTACAACACGTAGGTTTCAAAAACGACACTTTTGCCTTGTCCAACTTGACGTCTGAATTATAAATAAGGGGGTTTCTCAGCACAGCTAGAGAACAACCTGGAGGTAACTTCTGTGTATTGAGAACTTCCGATATTTCTCAGTACTGTTTGTATTTGGTGTAATTAGGGTCGTCAAGCGCACTCAGTTGTACTTAGTATGTATCAGTAGCTTTAGAGTGGTAAATTGTGCGGTACCTGCAGTGTTTGTGTACAAGGAGAAAGAGGCGACGACGGCGGAAGTTCACGCACCAGCCTGGTGACCAGATGGGTAACAAGAAAGATTGTCTGTTCTAGAGTCGTCTGCCGAAAATGAGGAGTAGAAACTGCCGAAAGTTTTCTCCGGATGACAATTCTGACGTTTTCGCTTCCTAATTAAGCAATAAAAAGAAAACACGAATAGAACAAACGGCTGTGCAAAATGATCCAGCATTTCGCGGTTTTTGCACTCCCTCGTCTCAGCCAAACAAGACAATGAAGCCACCTCGATTTGTTCCCGAGTTCCAACCAGCCTGCTTCGGGATTCGAGTCTAGACATATTTATTCCTGGTCCATAATTCACAAATCAAACCATATCTCGAACGTAGGATTTACAAGGCTAAAGTAATCCAATTAAAAAAAATAGACAGGAATACAATTAAGTTGTTCGCCCTTGACTTTTTCTAGCGGTGAAGAAAACCGCAAATAGCACAAAGTTAGGAGTTATGCCAATCAATCTACGACTGTACTGGGCCGATCTCATTTCAGTCGAGCTTCAACCCAGAGTTAAAATCAAGCTCGACAGGTAAGTGTCCGGTTTGTAAATCGGATTTGATCAGAAATGTGTACATTTTTCGAAAGTATGTTAGAAACCTTAGGACTGCTTGACAAGCAGTTACAGAGACACAGAATGGCTCCCGTATGATTTAAATGTGCCAAAATACTTTCCTGCCTGCTTGATGCAGAAAAAAGTCGATATTCTGGACAAACCCGTACACACGCTCCCACAGCACGCATAGGTCAGTCCTGCATTGCTGCCAAGTGATGTCAAAAGTAACCGTAAGTTTTCGCCAACACTGCAACAAGCGGCGCTCAACCCTTCCGACAGTAACCACTGCCTTAAACCAACCCAGAACCATGATTGGTGTCTAGTGAGAACTATTCAGTTGGATTCAGGCTGCATGACACTGTACAATCTGGAAGAATAAAATCAAAAACTCCAGAATCGTTTTTTAACTTGACGTTATTGTTTAATTAAATTTAGTAAATCAAATTCCAAATCACTAAATACCTGTCTACTGTAGTTGATAAGCAGTGGCAGCCCAAGGCATTTCTCAGCTTACTTGTTAAGTGAAGTCGTTCTCACGCCGTCGCTACAATTGCTTGACGAAATTTGCATCCAGGCATCTGCTTCCTCTGGCTGATCTGCCCTGAAACTGGTTTGTTCGAGGAAGCTGCTTGACTGCTGGCCTAGGGGTGCGTGAATTCGGGGACTCCGTACTCCACTGGGAGGGCATTGCAAACGAGAGAAAAGAGTTCGGTTAGAGGAACCTCGAGACTTCGTTGTAGAGGGGCTGTTTGGGCGAGGGGGAGATGAAGGCTGCATAGAGCTGCAACAAGGCGAAAGTATTATGAAATCTAGCGGAATTCCGCCCCATTCTCATATGCACTATTTAAAATTGGATGATTCCCACAAACGAAATGTTAAGTTGTGCTCAACAATGGTTCGGCAGAACTGGGAAAACCTACATTTGGATATCCCCAAGGAATTCCTCCTCCCGATTTGTCTTATCACCCGCTTGAGGCACAATGGCCTGGATACGTTGGGGCGGTGGCGAGATGGACTTTAGGAAGGGGTAGACTGCTTCCACCCCCCTACGATAGCACCAAGCAGCGGAAGAGGGGTACATGAAGGAGTGGGAAGAGAGTTTGCCCAGTCGCCTGCCTCGTTGATCCGCCCTGCCGGAGAGCCATCGCCCCTGCGTCGACATGGCGAGCACCTCGCCCTGGTGTTGATGTTGCGACGAGTGAAGGGGAGGTGAGGGGGGTCGGCGACGAAGGTGGGAATTGTAAAGAGGGTAAGCGTGGGCACGGAGAGCGATTCGGGCAAAAAGTGGGTCCTCGGGATTAGGAGAAGAGCCAGACACAGTGAGTTCATTCCTGTTTTTCTCGTGGTTGTCTAAAAACAAACATCAAAATTATTATTTGCTCCAGCAATTCGTGTACAGAAAACGACAACGTTATCTCTTCACTAGTAGCTTATCCTATACCGAATCGGTGTTAAAATAACGCTAGTTTTGACCTCAACTAAGCTACCCACAAACTCAATGACAGGCAAAGGTGTGAGTAAGATGAAGTCACCCACAAACTTCTGCATGAATACTTACAACTATCTACAAGTAAGTCACCCTACCATCGGATTCATCATGAATGGATCCCCCACTGGGTGGCTCTCGCTTCATCTGGACTATCGCTGAGCTCGAATCCGAAGGCGTGGAGCTGCCGGTGGGGTGGTGCTCCCCATCTCCGGTCGGAGGAGACGAGGGAGGAGGCGGTGGCGGCTGCGACAACGGCAGAAGGCGATCGCGTTCCCCCGCGACCGGTGGCAATGGAGGTGGCGGAGGCGCGGGGGCAGTACGAAAATTTGCCACCGCAATCGGAGTTAGGTCGGCAAGAAGAAATCCACTACTAGGTACAGAACGCTTCGACCTCGGTGGCTCCTCGTCGACTCCCACATTCCCATTGCTCTCAGCCAAGGCCAGCATTCTAGAATCTGTGGGGAGAAGAGGGAAACGTCAGAGTCCTCACAGGGCATTTTGGACTAAATTGTTGTTTACCAACGTTCTAAGTGTAATTTACCGTGGATTTCGTGGTGGCAGCAAATTAGTACGGCCCAATTAGAACAGGGCTATCACGAAAGATCTGCGTGTTTCAGAACACATCACTAAGTTAATCTCTAATTCGACCAGACGACGGAAGCAGAACCAAATAAGGATTGTCGGATATGCCCTTGTAATCTAGAAGCGGTCGAGCAAAGCGTGTTGTGTCTTTCATCGGTGGCAAGATCCGCACGGCGTTAGACAACAAGACAAATTGCGGGGAGGAGGTGGAGTCTAAGTATCTAAGGCCTAATCTCGCGGTCAGCAGTGGAGTTTAGCGATCATTTCCCTTTGATGTCGATAAAGACAACGGCCTATGCGTGCCGCCGCCGCCGTCGCCGCCACAAGTGATTAACTGATTGAGGAATGAAATAGATGAAAAAGTCGCATTTGGTCCACACATTATCTTCGTCTGACCTAATTATTAAAGGCAACTGCAACAAGCTGGAAAAGCGCAATCCTGCTGTGTAAACTAAAGCTGTCAGATGTCACGGCTAAAGTCGGTTATCGGGCTCCCCTCTACTGCAGCCTGAATGGAATGTGAAAAGCGTGGACTTTTGTTCTGTTACGTCAAATACAAATCGGAATGACTTCATTCCTGCACACTGCGTCTATTGGATTCCGAGCCAGTGACGACAACACGGATAAGTTAGAATAGGCGCTGCGGAAAGGTGGAGCATGCAAGTGGATTTGAAAAGCATGCAGAGACCGGTTTAGGTTTTAAGCTTACGGAGGTTTCCCTAACAAGAAGCCCAAAGACGCAAATAATAGCGTCCACGCCCGAGTGATGTCTGTGAGCAGTGTTTGTATGCTCCGCGCCATAACGGAGGCAGTCCCAGGTCGACGAAAAACGCATCGACCTGGCAGTTGGGTTATAAAAACACGGCAAATATATGTGGGTGTCCGGCGCCAGCCCCAAAAGATGAAGGAACCATAAGGTTAGTTACCGCCCACATTTGCGAAATTCCAATTTCACCGAAAGTGTGATTGAACGCGAACAAGATTTGTCCTAACCGAGGTCAAATCAACACTACAGGATCACACAGATTGAAACGCGGAGAATTCCCCAGGGCCGATATTCTTCTTTTTCGCACTAAAAGCAATTTTATCCCAATGATACAAATTGCTTCATAAAATCATCACTCCTCAAATTCAGTAAAATGTTTTGCCCCGGGCGGAGAGCTAAAATTTGTCGGGCACTTTAGCAAATGGAACAACGGAGGAATACTAGCCCTCGGCTCCGCCTGAGGAACCACCATCATGGAACACCCGTGAGACAAAATTTTGAAGGCGCTGATTCCAGCCCAGTACTCACTAACTAACGTCATCACCATATCACAATTACTAGGACTTTTTTCTTAAAAAAGGTAGACTCAGAGATTGAGTAGATTAAAGTAGGCACGTAGCAGACACAAAGGCACATGGAGATCCAGGCCACACAGACAAACACAGACCGCAGTCGCTTCCGAGCCTACGATTTACCCGCCACCACCACCACCCTCGCCTCGTCGTGCATTGTGTTGCGTGCAGCCCGAGGAACTGAGTCATCAGACAAACTGCGTGTTGGAGAGACGGAGGGAGAGGAAAATGCGGAAGAAATGCGAAAAATTCAACCGAATGGGTGGGTTGGGGGCGTGGGGGTGGGGGTGGGGGTGGAAGGACAGCTCGCCTTTTGTACACTGCGGAAGGATGATTAAAGTTCATGCCGCCGTTTCAGTAACAAAGAAACAGACAAAAAGGCAAAGCAAGTGGGTCGGAAAATAAATGCGTTCTGACTAATTTGGAGAAATTGTCCGACAATCGGACGTTGCTGTAAGTCGAAAACAGGTAAGTTAAGTGGATGCAAAAACAATTTGGGCTGTATTCTAACCATGCAACAGGAACAGAGCAAAAAGAATTTGGAGATAGAGTGGTGAAAACTGGATGTCATCCCCTGACAAAAACCACACCTCTTGACTAGCCACAGTCACTGGCGCCAGCACCCACGGCTCTAGCAACTGTAGGGTCCACATGCTTGCAGCCCCTTTAAGCGGATGTGACATTCGCAACCAACGCTGTGGACCAAAATTCACCACAAGACACTGAAGGAACGCTGCAGTTGCCATTCGTCGGCAAAAAGGCATACACACTTTCCAGAGGGTGGCCTATGAGTTAGTGCTAGAAGGGGCCAACTCCCAAAATTAATCTGTTCAGTTACAAACAAATTCTAAGAATCAGGAATAATGACCCATTACTGACAATGAGTTTGGTCAGGTCGGTACTATCGAAACTTCTGGTAACCTACGAAAGTATTTACCGATTGGGTTTCGAGTGAAACCGTTTCAGGCAAGCATTGGTTTGTAAGGAAGGGGGCGAGAATATGAGTTCTGTAAAAGAGGCAAATTAATCTCGGACACCAGACAGATTGGCAACGCTCAATTTGTCGATTGTATAGGGGTATTCGCACTATCCAAATGCGATGTATGTGCTTGATAGCACAACGGTAATACCTTATTTGTTACTGGGGCTTAAATATAGGTAAAAGCGACTGGCAAAACGCCCAAGTGTCTGGTACGAACAGACGGACGCTAACAAATCCGCGTAGTCTGATACAGAGCTGCTGTGGTTACAGCTAAATGCATTTTTTTCATGCATCAGAAGGGAGGGATTTGAACGGGAATGCCCCGGACAAATACGAAGGTACACGACGCCCACTGTCACACATGTGTCCACATTAAGTGGCCGGGCAGCGGCTGGCAGGAGTCTCGTGCGTGCGTGCATGCACGCGCACGCGCAGCTGACGCCTTCAGGATTGCCGCGATCCCCACGAAACCGAAAAGCACACGAATGAGCCGCGTACACAAGACGGGATGCATACGTCCCATCGAGAAAAGGGAAAAGCCTGGTTCTCCGAAGCATCTGTGTGAGCGCTAAGGTGCGCTCTGAAGCTTGACCACCAGGAAGCATCATAAAAAGTCAGCATAAGGGTCCTCCTCAGATTCACCAACACACTCTACGCTTTTGGTTTGCATTTGTTCGCCGCTCAAAGCCCGTGAAGGTGCAGCACATGTTGTAAAGTCGTGATTTACATTTAATAAATTAAACAGTGACGCCGTAATGAAAGTTGTCATAACGTTAGGAAGGCTTAATAAAAACGGCCACATGTTTGCATAGGTGATGCTGCCATGCATGGAATTGTTGATATGAAAAATTCGCCAGCTCTATTTTCTGCATCCACAAAAACAGAGTAACAGAAAACCGCTAAACGAACAGAACCAACCAGACAAACAATGCCGCTGAATGATGATGTGGCTGGGAAATCGGCATATTAAACTACTTGGGTGCTTCCATGCCAAGACGACTGTTCTGGCCGCCCAAACGTAGGAAGTTTACAGTTGCCTGGTCCAGTTGACTGGCTTTGGAAAGACTGAAGCATGACGCTAGTGAGGAGAAACTTCTCGCCTCAGCGGTATGGCCGAGAAAAACGCGAAATGAGTCATCCACACACACACACACACACAGCCGTGCACGCATCCACGGGCATGTGGGGGGTCGGCGCATCACGTGTGGTTCATCGTCAAAATGTCATGAAGAAAACACCACCCAGGAAGGAGAGAGAAGCCATTTGCGCAACTGTCAACCATAAAAATTCTAAATCATGGACGAAATGTGCCACGGGCGAGAGCAGAGGCCTTGCGCACGCCAAGACGACGCCAAGCGACACTGACGGGCGCCGGCCACAGGGTGTGCAGACGACCCCGCACACAAATCAAGGCTGCTCGGCGGTTTTTGCTAACACGGCGCCCACCACCACCCTCCACCGAAATCGGACACAAAGCGGCGCGCGTAGCCTAGACGCTAAACTCACCCGATAGAGGATGGTTTTGCCAAGACGGGGAAAAAACGCAAGTCACACATACAGTCCATACCGAGGGCCTTCATGAATCAAGGCCACCACATAGGAAAAAAAGTAATAGAGGCAATAAGATTTGTCACCTGTGGATGGGCGCTTGCAGCCAGAAAAAAGACCTATTTACAACAACTCTGCCATCGTGACAATTCCTCAAGCACATTCACATTATTATAATAACATCGCAAGTCTGCTTTTCAAGAACTGGAGATACACAAGGAGAGGAGCGTTAGATTTGTTCTGCACCGACCTAATTCACTGCTGACATCCGAATACAAGATGACGAGGTTTGCCTAACGAAGAATTCAACAGCAAGTGCACAATAATCACTACTGGAGACTTTCACCAAACGCACACCCCTGTGATTGCCATCAGGCTATTAAAATTTAGGGGGAAAAACAGCTGTTGCGTATCGTGTTTTCTTGGGAGTGCAAAATATGTTTGCAAATTAGGGAAGGTGAAAACATGAAATGCCTTCACGTACGCTCACTTAGGTGCTGATGAAGCAGGGGAGGGGAAACGCAGAGGTGTGTGTGTGTGTGTGTGCATCCCTCCGTCATGTTGCCATTGAGAAAACAGTTGTCGCGCCCCAATTTTCCTGGGTTTATTTCCGCGAGGACATTAATCTTGGTCGCGTACACGGTTTTCCGGGTTCCTCTGCCGCCCTGTGTGACTTGCAAGCACACGGACATGTAATATGCGTTCCTATACACACACCGGGGGAGAAATCTCGCGTGCGTGCACATCTGGCAGACAGAAAATTTGATGTCCTGCATAACTGCGGGAAAACGGTTTTTACTACACGTGGTTACCTGGAGGGCTGCATGGCAAATGCCACCCCCCTCCCTCCCCTCACACACCCCTCTTCCAGCTTGTTTCTCCCTCAGAACCAGTCCGTTGGGAACACGACAGTCGTGTACGCCATAACTTTGGTAGTATTTATTAATGACTCCAGCCACACAAGTGCACAGCCACATAATTCCGGACGCAAACCACCTTATCGTGCATTATGGGAAGAAAGGGTGCTTTACTTACCTTTGTCATCGGCGTTGATTTGAGCAAGGAGTCGGAGTTTTTCTTTGCGTTGGCGGAAGAAGCATATGGCAACGAGGAAGATCATCACAATAAGCATGGCACCAGCAAGCACCCCGAGGATAAGAAACATCAGGGAATTGGAGGCACTCGAGTTCATCTCCAGGAGACTCAGCTGATTGTTGAATGACAGTGAACCACCACCAGCGCCGCCACCACCACCAACATTGCCGCCGTTCAAATCCTGGGCCGCGACAGCACGCTTAGGAGGGAAAAGTGTTGACAGTACTTTGACAGATTAAATTGGTAGCAATGTGAACTGGCACCTGTGAGGACCACTAAACCTCACATCGCGTTGACCGAAACTGACAATTTGTTCTAAAGCATAACTGACCAAGTAGGGTAACATTAAGCCCACACGACAACCATTACACCATGTGAAGTCACATTTCAGCTAGTGAGGCCCAATTATTCGATACAAGACGAATAAAAGGAGAGGGAGCAAGTTTCGTAAGCAGTAAATAGATAACTGTTAGTCAAGCGATAACAGGAAACAAACTTACACTCTTATTATTGTGACGGACAGACACTGAAAGGTAGTTTCTGTTCGACACTCCATCAACATTCCACACCAACGGGCACCATCCAGCTAAATCTCTATGTGGGTTATTTGTCAAGCAGGAGTGCGCATTCTCAACACCACAACTCCGAGACCCAGGTAATAAAAATAGAGAATTGTTGGAAATACTGCCGATGAAACTTAGAGTTGCACAGTGATGTTCCCATGGTGTCGATTACGTTAACTACAGATGCGCGATAGCACCAACGTTGGTGCCTCTGAGCTTGCTCATGGGATGAAAGTACGCGATTTTACAACTCGCGAGGACCGAGGCGGAGTTTTGACGTCTTGCCGTAAGACGGAGGCGGAGTGGAACTCCGGAAGAGTTGCTTTCTGTTGAGGCGTTACTGGTAAAAGTACGAGGCTGCATAGACGTCTTACGCATGGATTAAAATTACCCATTTATCAAAAGCCTCGACATAACAAAATGCAGCTTGGGTTTTTTTATGAGGAACAAATAAAAGGTGTTTCTGCATTCGTCAGATCCCATAAAAGCGAAACAGATGTTCGACCATACTGGACTGTTGTGGTGTTCTGGCTTTCAAACTACTTAGCGTTAAGTGGTACAATTAGCCCTAAATGCAAGTCAGAGTCTCCAATGACAGCCAATTAGCCTGCCTGAAAGACGTCAGGGGAGGGTCCACTTGCATTCATTACACTGGCAAGCGTGAGTGTCTTTCGAGGGGAAAATACACGTCAGTACACTTCAAAGGGAGACACCGTTATCAATAACGGTACTACCAATACAGAGGAAACTAGTACAATCGTGATCGTTGCCCATTGGCACCGAAAACCTTTTCCCGTGCCTCTAGACACGAAGGGTGTGAATACGTTGATACAGCTGAAGATCCTAGCCTGTAGGGACGTACACAATCCTAAGTATTGCAAAGGTAACGATTTGCCATCCGGATAATCAGTTGGTTTAGAATTATACTTGACTTCCGAATTGAACCGTTTGGAAAAATCTACTATTCGGAAATCAAAAATGTCAAGAGACGGACGTTACTACCACATTAGGCTTGGGTCTATGTGGGACTGTCCTGGCCTTGGTAAAAGAACAGACAAAACGTGGCATCTCGACAAGGAAAATCCCCGCCGTGAAATAACTCCGACCTTACTACCCTGACTGAGCTTACAACAGTCATGTCTGACTCAGCAAACACATGTTCACAGGGGTCGCCATCCCATTTGGACCTGCTCGGACTGAGGATGTCCAATTCAATCCGCTGTAACACAATGATAAAAAGAAAGACTCACGTCGTCTGCAGGAACAAAAACCTCCTGGCTGAAGGTGGTGATCTTGCGGCCATTGAGGCCCCCAGTGAAAAGGGACTCCGCAGGATCGATCCCCTGTGGTGTGTTCTCCCCGTAGACGACAAACTGGTACCCAGCACTCCTGTCCAATCCTGCCACCTTGTATTCCTGTAGGGTCAATGAAATTAAAAGATACAAGGTCAGGTCTGCCTACACCCATAAATCCGAATCCTCTGGTTCACTCTAGGAGTCTTGGAACCAAAAACATTTTCACCAGTTAAGATGCAGAACAAGCTCTGGTGGTAGCTTTTTTATCAGACAACTAAAATCTAGTGATTCGTATTTTTTTTTACAAACTGGTGAAAGTGCGACATATATTGGGCACGAGTTTGGGCTGCTTGCTGTTATAATTCGGTGTTTTGAGACAACCTCAAAAAATGTCCAGCTGACCATATTTCATACAGACGGGTTCACGAAGGTATAGCGCAGGGGCTAACTTCAACTATCCAAACAGTGCAAATTGTCAGAGTTAATTAGCATAAGAACGAATGCATCCTTTACGGGGGTAAAAGGATTAACATGAAAAATGTACCACAAGATTTTGTGAAAATTTTGGCTTAAGTGGTTAGCTGGATTGGCAAGAAAAGTCAATGCGAAATCAAATGTAATGTTAACGAAGATTACATTCACGACCACAGATCAATTACATAAGGCTATTGAGTGATTCATACGAAATGTCCACCACAAGTAACTCGGCTTTAAGATCATATGAGACCGTGGCCTCTAAACTCCTGGTGACACGAGACGCATTCAGCTGAAATTGGCGCACTAACCACGAGACGATGGAAGTAGGGTGGCGGCCGAATTCGCGCTGTGTTTGCAACCGTGCAGTCACCTATTAGCTCAGCGACTGAGAGCTTTTAGAATTCCACAAAAGGATTTGGCAGTAATTTCAACGATTGCTTCTCCTCCTTTTGCAAACTTAAAGATGGAGTTTCGTAGTGTTTACTAGAGAACCGTAGACACGGCCGAAATTCACAAAAATTCAGAAACCCGATTTGCTTGATCGTACCGCATATCCACGCACCCAAGATTGAATCCCAGGGCCATAAAACAGCTAAAACGTCAATTGTACTTTAAATGTCTGTTTGCTGTGTAGAGTATCGAAAACAATCACCAGCTACTACTCTTGCCTTCGTAAACGGTGCTTTTCGTCAGTTCAGCTCTTTCTGAAATTATATTTTAAGTTGAACTTGACCGTACCGAAGGATCTAAGTTGCCTTACGATCAAAGATTAAAAATGCATCTCTAAAACCAGTCAACTTTCTGCTAACGATGCTGATGTGTGCACAATATTGTTTCGGCATTTACGATATGCTGACATCAATCTTCATCCGACACTCTTCGCCCGCGGAAGTTCACACGCTTAGCAGCTGCGTAAGTTTAGCGAGATGGTCACCTATCATAGAGTGATTCCCGGAGTCGCGTTATTTAAAACTTTTAAACTGACAACAAACGCTGCTTGATATTGCGTAAGAGGATCCCGTGGGTGACTTTATTTCATTCCCGTTCGATGATCCGAAAGCGGTTATTTTTTATGGGTAAACCGAAGCAACGTTGGCGGGATAGCAGGCAAGAAATCACGTCTAGTCGTGGCACTAAATTCCGGCCCAATCCCTTACACACCCTAAGACGACGAAACGCTCGGTAAGGAGCCACGCATTGCGAATCACAAGCGCATGTGCGCGCATGCGTCTAGAGAAGCCCAGCAGACTGAGAAAGCGAAGTATCCGCACACAGAAATGTCTACAAAAAATCAGAAAACAGGATTTCGAAATGCATGACTCCTGTGATTGGCCAGCCAGACAGCAGGCACAAGCACACAGGCGCGCAAGCGTGTGCGTGAACACGCTCGCACATCGAGTCCGGAATCGAGGACAGCACAGTTACCGTGACTGCCTCCACCAGAAAGGCAACACGTCAGCATCACCGCACAGACACATGTGTAGGGGAGGTGGCCCCACTAAAGCAGCAAGACCACTCCTTCGGTGTGCTTCTCCCATAGCATACCGTACACTGACCATCCCGCATAATTACGAAACCACCGCAATGTCAAATGCAAAGAATGACCGGCTTGTTAGGTGGCAAATCTTCGTTGAAGACGAGAAAGTTTGCATATGACAAATTCCATGAACGAGTTAAGCAGTTATATGAGGGAGAAACGATAACCCAGCGAGGTCAAAACCATATTCTGTCGAGCAGCATGGAGCTGAACGTCGCGTGCTGTTGGGGCGGGCCTGACGATCAGACTACTACCCACAAAGGGGAGTAGACAAAAGCGTTTCCCCCGGACGAATTTCTTTGTTGCCGCGGCAACAGTGGTTTTCTGCCTACAAAAGGGGAACCACCTTATCGTAAAATCGTAACACCGCATGAAGGGATCTACGGCTGAAACCACCTATCTAGACGTTCAATGAACCCCCAAGTTGAGCTAAGAATCTCCCTTTCGTGACGGCAAAATTGTTTGAGGTTACCGAAATGCAAATCACCGATAATGCCGGGGATGCCACTAGAAGGAGTGACAATTTACGTGGTAACAATTTTAGGTGTGGCTCCCAGGCAACAAATACGCATGTCAACTTAATGACCTGACTTGAGGAGGTAATCTGAGCTGACCCATATGAACTTCGAAAAAAGGTGTTTCTTAGTATAAAAAAACCATAACGATCATTTTTATCCCTTCTTCATTTAAATTTTAACCCTCAGACAAATTTGGTCCATTAATTTCGACAAAAAACAGGCTAGAGTTGCTGAGATCCAAAGCCGAACACTAGCTGTAACCTTAAGTGAATCATTGATATCACTTTTACGATTAGTGAATAAACGGGTAGTAACCGAGGTCATTGGGGCGAAGGGAAATTGCGAATTGACACGAAAAAAAAACATTTAAAAGCGGTCAAACGCGTTGCTAGGATCCCAGAGGGTGCAATTTTTGGACCAACATGCAATGTGACGTCGCAAGCGGCTGTTGTACAGAGTAAAACGAGTGTGGCCCAACCCACTATTTCACGACGAAGGAATGACGGACTGCCACTTCTTCCAATGCAAAAAAACTAAATGGCCATGAGATGGAGTGGAGCAAAAATTCAGGTGATGGTCTTGAGGACCAGATTGAATTCGGCGCGCTACACCTAACCAATGGAGTTCGGACGTGCAAACGCACTAACTCATTAGTGAGAGATTTGATATGTTGTTAAGGAGCAACCCTTCCACCCAGAAAATAACGGTGCACAAATCCACGTCGGAGGCGCAACGAGAAGAAGCACAGTCGTCTGAATCTGTAAAATGCCTCGAGAAGCGCGAAGAAGCTACGACCTTTCTAGGAGGCAGTAAAAATTAGCCTGGGTGTTCCCCTCACCGCCCTCCCATTGCATATCACTTACACTAAATGTCAACGATATAACTGAAGACAGACAGCCCATTTACTCCACCATAAATAAGCCCTAGAAGATACCAAGGCTTGTATAAGCAGGCTGCGTGCCATTTCCTTATGATGAAATTTTGGAAAAAAAGCGTAACTGACTACTGTGCGGAGGAATTAACAGCAAAACCTCCATTAAATGACTTAATTAAATGTAAGCACGATACAAAAGCATGAGCACTACAAAGTAAACGCTGATTAGTAAGTGAAATTTCACCAAACTGCACAAAGGCAATGGTTAATTGCAGTGGTCATTTCGACCGTAGTTAGAATAAAAGCAGCTTACACTGCTTTTAATGACAACGGGGGGGGATAAAAGTTGGAGTGTAATTGATCTACCGCAGAAAGGAGGGTGATCAGACGATGTGGAATAACTCCCGAAGAATAAAAACGCCGACAATCACCCACCACACGCACGATACAGATGTTTCAGATAGTTAACAAGAAAAAAAATATACACCAAACGTAAAATTTTGAAGCAAAAAAGCTGACATTGTATTATTGTGACTATAAAAAGTTGTAAATGTTAGGGAGAGCAAAATAAACTACAACACCGCGCGTAATGTGTCTGTTTCGATTGCTTTTAACCTGACAAGACAAATTAGATTTTCGTAAAAAAAAACACTTGGATTATTACAGCCCACATAATCATGCGAAATGCCAAGATATACTGTCTGAAAGTCAATCTGATTGCGTGAAATTTCCCCGAATACAGCCAAGACAATAGAATTTATACAACGCTTTCAGAATCCAAAGGGCAGACGGCTCACACCCACTTCAAGTCAGGACTGGAAATTCGATTTGATGGAGGTTTACTACTTTAATGACCACTACACCGGCCTGTACCACCCCAACTTCGAGTCTACACCTTGCAAAAAATGTCTTTCCACGTCCGGCACGTCTACCAGCTCTTCACTAATCTTTTGTAAGGGCTGGGTTCAACAAATTCTCCAGCCAACGTTAGCCTAACAGACTCTTAAGCCACTGTAGCTCAACGCAGAAAAGGAATGAGTGACGGAATCACGTTGCCGGGAACGGCGGACCATAGTAAGTTGATGAACAATGCTTAGGACTGCTTGCTTTTGCGCACAGAAAGAAAACTGCATTGCATATTTTACGGAAAAGTTAAAAAAGTGGCTTCATAGGGGGGTACTGTGTAAGGGGGTGCATCGCAATGTGGATATTTTTGAGGAGGGCGTTTCCTATGCGCCGCATGGTCAATTCATGTAGACAACTGGTAATTTACGAAAAAAACACAAAGGCGACCCTGAATGCTCAGGAGTAGATTGGAAAAAACTGTAGTACTAGTTGTGTTAACAAACAATTAGGACCCTAAATCGAATAACGCTAAATTTGGTGGACAAAGTTACCTCACTGTGTCATCTCCAAGTTGATAAGGGGCAAAGCACGACTTTGACACAAAAGTTAGAAGAACGAATAGAAAAAGTCATGACTTAAAAAGAGAAGTTTATTTGGTCGATGGGGCAAGTGTGCAGTGATTGGCTGGAATCTACTTGGAGTTTGGGCATCGACATGCTGCATTTCGACATGTAATGCTTTGGGAATCCCAACCAGAAGGTCGCTTGTAGACACGGTTAAAAAGTTTTTGCTGCGCGCGCGTGTGGTAAATCTGTGACGGCAGAAGTAAATGTAAAAGCAGTTTTTGCTGCGCGCGCGTGTGGTAAATCTGTGACGGCAGAAGTAAATGTAAAAGCAGTTCAACCCACATTAAGAGTTTGACCACGAGCAACAGCTGGAACGTCAGCTGAGCATTAACACATTAAAAGCATGGGTACAAGTTTAAATTTGAGATGCGAAAACACGAGAATGAACACGTATCATGTCAATAACGGACGGCTTATTGACACTTAAAAGCCCCGCAAATTCGACGACGCAGACCTGTTCACCAGGAGCCGTTTATGCAAAATACGTTCGACAAAAGTGATTTTGGTGGGCTAACACATTAAGGAATGGGTGTCATTTGATGGTTGAAGGTTGGCGAACAAAAACGCTTCCACACAAGAAGATTTCTGTCAACGAATTCGTGGGAATACAGTGGAGTAAATCGTTACAGACAACGAAACAGGTGATGATAGTCCGCGCTGTGAACGGCATTAGAGGTTGTTACAAAAAAAATGCAAGAATTCTGACCTAGAAATAATTAGTCGGAATGGTGATGCCAAAAACGCCGCAATCAATGACGAAGAAAAATTCTTGTGGCTGGAAGGGTCCCTTTCGCCATTAACACATATCCCAATTAACCAAGTGGTTGATTGCTACGTGCTCCTTAAATGCAAAGCATCAGAAGCGAGCCCTCGATGGAAAATTTCAAATCGAGGTGACAACTTCCACTTCGAAGACAACGGCCGATCGTCTTCAAATTAACGATAATGCAAATAGAAGATCGTATTTGCAGCCGTGCCTTTTAAGGGGGATCTAAAAACCTTTTAGCTCAACATCACCTTAAAAAAAGCTACAAACCAGTATAGCAGAGCAGTGCAAAACGTCCTTTACTTGAATGAATCAAGAATTCCAATATTTAGGGTACTTGGATGTCTAAAAACCTGGCAGGTTGGAAGCCTCTTTTCGCGCATCGGAAAGAGGATACGCAGAGCATTCAAAAGTTATAATTGAGCAAATTTATTTCACGAAACAGGACGAGCAGGCAAGTGTATAGAAGGCACCGACATAAAGTACCCTATCTGAAAACGATTAGGCTTCATGGATTCGAGTTGGCTACAGGCATTCGTCAATCTACCACTGCTCATCGAGAGTCCAGGCGACTACAGTCTGAAGTGAGCTGAATAGAAAATCAAGTGCAACACGTGGTAAAGTAGGGCGAAAAACAAATGTCCCGTTTTCGTGTACGATGTGCAACCACTTACAGTGGTGGTGAGTGTCGATGATTATTGCGTACCACAACACAGACAACTGTGACCTTTAAAAACCTCATATCAATTAATATGGAGTGAGTCACAGACCGCATTAATGGTTGCCTTTCCGTCCACCAAATATCGTTCCATCCATCACACACACACACACACACACTGGTACTCGTGCACAGTCACCAGCTATTAAACGGATTGAGAATCGAGATTTGAAGGAGGGAGAATGAAAACTCACACTGGGGGCCACCCCGGTTGAGACAGCGGTGAAATTAAAGGGCTGGGATGGTGGCGAGGGGGAATGAAGTAGAGAGGGGTGGATGGAGGGGAAGGGGTAATACAAAGACGCATGGTGGCCCATGGCAGGACACAGGGCCTTGCGGACAGACGAACAGTGGTTTCGCTTTGATGTGGCGCGAGCAAAGGAAAGGGGTACTTACCTCAAGGTTTCCAGGAGCAGTCACGTGACGGAAGCCGTGAAAAACAGTCTCGCCATTGGGGAGGCGTTTCTCCTTGCGGAAAAGAATGATGAAACGGGTTATCCTGAAGGCGTTCTGGCCCCAGGACCTTGACCAATTTATGAGAACTGTCCCATCTGGCTACAAGGGAAATGTTAGTTGGCCATAGCTACCGGTCAACCTGGATTGGACACCGCGAGAACCCCCAAGCAAAGTTGAACTCAGACTAGGCAGTTCACCTCGGTCCTACACACAGTGGAAAGTTAGGCCATATAGAGTAAACAGGTATTAAGGAAAAGGCTATTTTAGTTGTTTAAACCAATGAATGGATTCCTCGTCAAGACCTATGCTATGAAGCTTCATTACTTATAGAACCATTTATTTCTAGCCTTTTTTGCGTGTAAAATATCAAATCAGGAGCGTTAGGCCGGAAAACGCATAGGAGGGAGGCATAGAGAAGGGGCGGATGAGGAGCAGACTTACCAGTCGACGCGCAACTCGAACTAGAGGGGAGTCGGCATAGATGTACTCAAACGATGTGATCGCTGACCACCTACTTTTCTCCTCGGGTGCGTTGGCGTCGGGTAAAACAGCGACTACCTGGAATTGGTAAACTTTTCCAGCCTCGAGTCCCCCTGGCTGCTTATTTGTCACGTACAAGTATGGCTGGAGCACCTGATTTGGAGAAAACAACACCAATGTATGTCCTACTTCAGAAATAAATGTCAAACACTAATACCCGAGGTGTAAGAGAACTTGAAATTACGTGGGAGGAGACGGTGTTGAATCTTGGGGTTTGTGAAGTTAAAAATAAACACATACGTGGACCAACTTTCACACGCTCGGAGTTTATGAAACGCCAACTATTTGCAGATGTTCTCCTACTCAGACATTCAGCCACTTCAGCTTTTGCGTGAGGATACTTGTGGGATTTACGGTCGCACAACTTTATGACCCTCCAGTTTAACAGGCGATTTAAACGATCTTTGCACGGATACACACACACACACATTTAAGCAGTGCGTGTGGACCATTGAGCGCGATGAACCACATCTAGATTGCATAATGAGAGCTTCGGTAGAGCAACTCGCGCAGATAATAAAATCAGCTTCCCACGCGGCGAGTTATCGATGTCCGTGAATCCCGGGATCACGCCCCCATGCTTAAACCAAAATACACACAAGCAGTAGGTGGCGACGCGCAGAGCATCGAAAACCGCCAAACTCCAAGGGGCTAGGGTGTCAGCACTTTAGACCCCACAGGACATTCGCAGTGAAAAATGTAGTTGAAAACGTTTCCGGGGGTTTGAAGTCCCCGTATACTTGAACGAAGCATAGTCTGTCTACTTCGGGGAGGACTCTATCCTTATCTTAACATCCACGTACGGTAAAATAGACATATTTTTACATGCTTGTGCAACAGACCTGGGAGACCAGACAGTATCATCATTTTGAAGGCCAAAACGGGTAATTGGAAGATTATTCGCGTTTCGTACCAAATCTTAAGTACCTTTTTAAGAGTCAGAGCCTAAATTCCGACTGAACTTCTCTCAACTTAAAACGCGGTTACAACGTTGAGTAGACTCTTGTCAAGGACGCTATTCGCGATAGTCCATTTAGTGGATGCCAGTTTGTGACTATATCTTTGATCTAGACCTCTTTCCTTCTTCCATGCCTTTTGGCCCGTGTCGAGTGTTTTCACGCAAGGTACTCGAAGAGGAGTGGGCACAGGATGTTTTGGACAGAGCAATAGATCGCGAAATCACTGCTTCTGAAACAGCAGACCACTTGAACTGTGAGAATCACCACAGACGCCATAGTTTAGTCCCACACACTTGACCGCCACATGAAAAGCCCACGGACTTCGCACGCTGTGAGGGTTTGTCTAAAAGGTCGGCAATAACATGGACCGATTCGGCCGGAATTGACTCTTTTCCCCTTCAAGATGATTACTTCTGGGAAATGTCTGGGGAATGCATCGCTGTTAATTGCACCTAGAGTCGCAGATACACAAAGTTAAAACCAAAGTGATCACGACTAAGACCCAGGTCAATCGCCAAGCAATCTTCGGCCAAATAGTCAAACCCACACTAACTCGGCCAGGGAATGGGTCGCATTGGCTGCTATGAGCAGGGCAGACCAAGCTCAATTAGTGGAAGCTTGAAAGTGCCACCTCGGGACCACAACATCCCAACCTTAATCTACCGACCTGGCAGTTGGATTGGTTGATTGGGTAGCAAACGTAATAAAGTACGATCCCTGCCGAAATCCAGAAACGCCCCACCTGCCATGACCCGCTTCAAAAAGACGCTTTTTCGTTATGCTGCTGCCAAGATTATAATAAGCCTCTAAACGAGCGAGGACATTGCGCTAGGCCAAATTGCGAACCACCCAAGTATCTCTGTGGCTCACATGGCAAAATTGTCATTGAAGCATCCTTTGCTATTTCAATTTCCTTCTGACTTGCTGCACTGCGCAATGTTGACTTTGGCCGACGGCATCAATCGGTAGATTCTTGTGCACGGTGCCTGCGTGCGATGCCCAGACCACTGTGCTGGAATTTCACGTGTCACCGTCAAAGTGCGCCGCCAGCAACCGCAGCGACTTCGCACACTGCGCTGCGTGCTGAGGTTGGGTAAATGATGCTGTGAAATTGACTACTCAGATCCTTCATGGTTGGGCCATTGACCGAGTGAGTAGATTTTCAGACTGACATTTGTGTTTTTGTGCGACGGTATTTCTAGGGTAAGCTTAATATTCGTGGATACCACTTGGGGAGAAAAAAAGTTCCGCAAACAAAGGCCCATAAGTACCACATTCTGCACAAACATTTCCTGAGTGCAAATGGCACAAGTGCCGCAGGATGGTCCACGAAAATGAGGCCAGAAATGCGTTTCAGGCCATGAGTTACTCAGCATCACGGCGCCGACTGTCCAGAAAGCTTGATTTAAGACAGTCGGAGTAGCAGGCAAAATTTTAATTATTGTGATTCAACGAGAGCCTGACGTTACGCCTTAGATGAACCACGTAGTCGAGCGAGAGAAAGTCTTACAAGGAGCTGGCGCAATACACAAAAGGCACAAACCCAAACGAGGCTTAAATCGCCTTGCCAAAGACACGCGCGCACGTGACGAACGAGTGCGTTCGCCTCCCAGTAAGTACACAAATTGTTTTGGCTGGGTGGCACGATGACTAGGTGGGGCGGCTCGAGACGTAGCTGCAGCGACTCTCACTAGGGGAGGTGGGGCAGAGCAGACGGCGGCAGGAGCGCCGCACGGGCTGCGGGCAGAAAAACCACCACAACTGGCCCACACTGGCGCGCGCGTGCAAGTGCGCGAGGCGAGACGACGCGCGCGCGGCCGGGCGGTGGAGGGAGGGGTCGGGGCGTTGTCGCTGGCGCAGCGTTAGATTCAATTTTTAGTCGTGGCAAAATGGACGAGTTCATAAGAGCGCTGTCCCCTGAACCCCTACCGCTTCTCCGCTAGCACCATCTGCGACAACTGATGACGCATCTCCTAGAGCACTTGTGACAGGACCGGTATAACTGCGCCGGTTGAGTGTGCCAACCACACAGAAACCGCATTCGTAGCGAAAAGAGGTTCTGGTTGACATTACATCGGTGACATCTGGTAGATCTGATAGAGATGAGGTAATTATATTACTCGTACGACATTACATCTGGTCCTCGAAAGCACAGAGGTAACAAAACGCTTTCGTTCTGATAGGGTAAACTAATGAGTCTTTTCTGTGGTAAACGTCATAGTATCTTTTGTAGGTAATTGCAACAAAACAAAGACTTACATTTCCAGCTAGTCGGGTCTGGACAACGACGGGCGTTCGGACCCAGTGTCGCCTGTGCGGATCCCGGTACCGAAATTGAATTCGGTAATGACTGAGTGGACGCTGCCGACTACTTCTAGACGGCCATGACAGATTTACTGCCAAGTTGTCACCGATTATTGTCACTTTCGGTCTCCAAGATGCTAAAAAGTGCCAAGCAGTAAATTTTTTTAGTTTTTACACGGAGATGACTAGTTATTACTTGTCCGCCTGCGTGTCCGCACGGTGAAACATTCAGCAGACCAAACCAAAGTAGGAGAAGGACAACACTTTTGTGTGAACCGGTTTTGACCAACACACAACGTCACGACATCGCCGCCTCCGAGTTAAAGAAGCCAGAAGTAGTGACAAGGAAGGAATTGACGTGGGAACAGCGGTTAGATCTCACAATTTTGGCCGGTCAGCTTGAAGGGTATGCAATGGTGGTGCAACATTGGCCATATTCTTCCTATCGACCAGCCCTTGAGTGCCTATTTGAATTTGCCCACCGAGTGGACAAGCCCCGTGTTTCGCAACATCACAACGTCCTTCCTTTAACCTCACTTGTTACATTCGTTTAGTGTTTAAGATAACACACATATTACAGTCAAATATGTATGTAGGTTTTTTTCCGAGATACACATTGGCTATCAATTAATCGATGTCGGTGACTTTGTCTGAGCAAGATAAGTTAAGTATCGTAAACATTACTTACGTACAAGTGGCAAGGTGCTTCAGAAAGAACATAACCTCTTATCATTGGTATTTTGAAATAGATAAGAAGCATTGTTTATTGCGGTCAATTGTCAATCAACACTTCCTGTGGTGTTTGGAGTACAATAAAACTGAAGGAAAACAAATTATGGAACCGCGAAGACACGAGCCAAACGAAAAAGACGTGCTGACCGGAACTAAAAACCAGCGTAGTAAACACAGAAGTTTACACCTATAACCGATTGCTATTGTATTTGGCAAGTATAAAAAAAATTGAATTTTAAGACGACGTGATGTACAGGAGCAGGGGGGAGGGGGGCCGAAACTTGTGTTGTCACCGTCAAATGCAGTACTAGTCACTTGGTTCTCTCTCGAAATGCGTAGCCATATCGAATCCTAGGTCGGAAGAGGAAGAGAGGAAATCAAAGGGCGCCGTAAACACACCCATACAAGCCTGAAGTCAGACGAGCTATCGTTTCACCGTCATTAGGAACTTGAGATGGATCAGAATCTAGAGTGGGAAACTGGACGACAGCAATTAGTAGGCTGTGAGGGTGCATTTGTGGACACATGTCCGTGCGAAACACGGGTGTCCAGATGCTTCAGAAATATACGATTTACGAAACAATGGCAACTGGCTTAGAAATCGGACGCTTGAGAGAGAGAGAGAGAACGAGCAGTCCGACATCCATGTGGACGCCGATGAGAAGAAGTGGCAGGCAAATCAGTACCGAAACGCATTTCGCGTGTTGCTTGACAATAGTAACAGTTCACGTGTGTGCACCAAACTATGGCGCAAGCGACGCACAGTCACTAGCCCGGTACAGTGAAAAGTGCAGAAATGTGCATGAAAAGGGCACACCTACGCTTGTGATCGCTTTGGGACGGACACTTGCACGAATGGGCAGTCATGTGTTGCGTCGCTTTGCGGGGCCGATCCCTCCAGCCTTCTTGCTAGCGCAAGGCTCAGGGCAGTTAGTTTCCTGTGACTTGACAACTACAAATCTGTGCAATCTCACGTGAACTTGCCTTATGTTAACATCGTAAACAAAGCGCGTCTAGATAATAAGCGCCCTAGTCGTCCGACCTCGTACGCTTTCGTCTGCTAGGTGTCCGAGAATGCAGTGGGGACACAAAAAGTGTGCAAGATGTCAGGGTAAACTCATTCGATCCACTTGACCAGGTATTCAAACAAAAGCAAGATTTTTTGAAGGATGAAGCAAATGGACACTAAGTGGGGTCTCTCAAACCAGACTAGACTTTTCAAGTAACGCCAATTTTATTACCACGACAACAGACGTTATGAGAAGGTGCAAGTTCAAAGCAAAATTGGCAAAATGAACTCACTTCGATTTCCGGAGTTCTGTCTAGTCGGCTTCGGTGTGGAGGGACCTAGGCCGGTGTGAGCGGCGTTTGTGTGGCCCAGGGAGAAGCGCCAGTTGATAGTCGATCCACGCATGGACGAGGACTCGCCCACAAACGAAGACAGAGATCGTTTAGCCATCTGTGTGTCTAAATGCAGTCGTGCAGAAGAAGCATTTTACCGCGCACTTCAGACATCTGTACAAAAACTGCTGCCGCTGCTGCTACACTACTCCCCCCTCAAAAGTGCACTGCTTGATAAATTACCAGTGAGAACGCAGGGCTGTGGCGATGCCTGTCTCATAAAGATGCGCAACTTCGGTCGCCGTGACAAAGATGTAGCCAAAAAAATTGGCTACCACATAACTCTACATTAGTGATGACAACAACGGAGTCGGGTGAAGTGGAGTCGAGAGACATAGGAGTGCAGCATAAACAACAGAATGGAGAGGTGCACTTTAACATTCACATCGAGCGGATTTGAACTGCTCCCAAACACCGGCTCCACGCTTTCCTCGAAGTAAATTCGGTTGAAATAAAATTAAAGGCAAGCAAATTCACCCCCAACATTGGGCGGTGCGGCAGTATTTGCAATCAGGCGAAAAAAGAACATAACAAATACAGCAGCATTATTAGACTTTTACAAAGAAAACAAACTAGTAATAATGCAAAGCGATCAACGCTGGGAGCACAGTACATTTGTATAGGCAGACCTTCATTTTAAACGCGGGAAAAAGTTGCGTCAAATGGAATCCACCAAATGGAAGTCAAAACACCGAATCTAGTCGTCATTTAGACAAAAAACGAGCAATTAAAAGTTAAGGTGTAGAGCGAGCAAAGGAAGGGAAAGACTGGGACCGGTGGCATCACATTTACCACACGCATTATTTCGATTTGGGAGAACAAAGTCGCTTGATTACGACAGACAAAAAGGTTTTAGTGGATTCGAGAACACAGTTTGCCCATAAAATCACAAAGAACCATGCTTTACTTCGAGATAAGTGTTATAACCCGGTCTAAAGAATCTATTTCAGAAATAAGAATAGAAGCGTCATTCTTCTTCCTGCTAAACAGTTCGATTGTCACACACGATTTTAACAGGCCGAGAGTGGCACTTTCTAATTTAACGCAGTCACTTGCACACCGTGGGTGGCCCGATATTTGCGCTAAAATCCTGTTGCGTACTTAGCTAAAAATATCCCAGAAAGTACGTCGATTTGTTGAAGAACACAAATGCATCAAAGTAAATTTAATGCCTCGGTCCAGACAGAAGGCCAAAGGGAAGAGTGCGTTATTAAAGCAGACGACGAAAACGTGTAAGAGTTCTCACTAAGGCAAAGGTTTCGCCTGCTTCCCTTCGGGTGAAGAAAGCAAAGCAAAATGAAAGCGAAGTGATTGATTGCGGTGGCGACGACATCCTCGCAGCTCAGCTCGGTGTGGAGACAGACATGGACACCGAAGCGGACCAACCAAATACAATCTCATATTAAGGAAGGCGTCGATGGACGTGGCATCACTGGCAGGGAGATCAAACGGAGTTTGACGGATAATCATGTTCGGAAACGTGGTCACACAACAGACGCTACTTTCTTGCACCCGTATTGGTTTTTGTTCTACTCTCTAACTCAAGCGTGGGGCACTTGGGTCTCAAAGCTTCCGTGGAAGACATCGAGCACACAAGTTGTTGCTGTTGTTAGCAGCACTTGGTGCCGCACGCCCAAACGACTATTTCTCTCGGGGTTTCGGGACACGATGGCACTGCAACCATCAAGGTCGATTTCTATCAAATCAGAACCCTAAATAAGATGTCAATAAGGCTTGGGTGTGCGTCTGTGTCTCCATTCGCAAACAACTACTACACATATGTTCATTCAAGTGAACAAAGGAGTTACGTTCGTGTGCACAACACCATAAAACCACACACAAACTCGAACTGTTGCGCCCCTCTCCCTCCAGCTTATTTTACTGTGAGAGAGTTTATTTAACCTAACGGCGGATCCCATAGGAATTTCCATATAACACACCGACTCGGGGGAAACGCCGGAAACAGTGAGCTTAAACAGACATCCAGTGTGTGTTAGTGCTATTAACAAATCCTGTACACTAACACGTGACTTGCCTCGGATTCCACATTTCAAACAGCAAGTCGCCTCCACAATTTCAACGAAACGGCGTAGAGTTGCATGGCGAACACTGGCGCCTTTGTCAAAATTGCTAACAGCTAAATATTCCACTTATTTCCGTATTGCTTTTCTCGAAATGACGGTTTTGCCTGAACAATTGTTTAAATTAAAACACTTGGTGTCATAAGTATTCGAGAAAATTACCGGCTAGCTCCCAAAAGCGATTTCTGCTAAATGATAAACCCCTAGAACAGAAACAGACCCTGTGTCTGATGCCTTTAATACCCGAGGCTGGTATAGCACAAATATACACTTTGAGAGCCCATTTGCTGTTGGAACACTTGCAGACAGGAACGACTAGGGCACAGAACGGTTGAATTCGCGTCGAGAAAGGGATGGTAATTACCAACAGGCACGTCGAGGGCAGTAAACTATCGCTCCGTCGCAGCGTACTTTAAGTCTAGAATGAAGGATAAACAGACACCGGGGCGGGTGTGGTCGGAGTACCAAAAGGGGTGCCTCAACGCGATGTCCATGTCACATCAAAAGGGACGGCCACCTAACATTTTCCCTCCCCCTCCAGCCGATGTTCACGTCCAACGCATGGACATGCATTCTAGATGAAAGACCCAAGTCGGTTCAGGTAAAATCCTTGTCTATCGACATCTGGGCGGCGATACATGCTGACAAACCAGTCAGCACATAACGAAAATACCCAAGTAATGATTTCATGTGTGTGGTGGCTATTTTTTGCTTTTACGGAAGGTCCACTCAGGGTGTACATGGTCATTTCATCGTTTTATTGATTAAAAAAGCATATTCGTAAAAAACAGTTATAAAATGTCTAACCTTGATAATTCACCACATTTACTCCCAACGGGAACGGCAACTGAAGGCAATGCTACTTCACAAACAAAACATATGCACGAGAAGCTAATGAAAATGTTAAGTTGGCATTTTAACCGATTTTCCCGACGCTACGTGTGAGGAAAAAGCTGTGCTACCAAACTACTAAGTTAAGGGCCACACGAACGCTACGAGCATTGGCCACAGGTTGTTACATGAAAAACAAAATCAACCGGACTAAAATGCTACACGTGAGACCCTCTTCGAAGGATGGATAGATGGGGAGGGAGGGGGAGGAGGAGGAGAGCAGACTGAGACTGCGCAAGACACCCTCGACGAAAAGCATTCCGTTTGGTAGCGGGTACGTCACACACACGCGCACCCACAACACGAGGCGGGTGGGGGGGAGGGTAGGTGTGCGGTCACAACGGCGCGCGCACAGGCACGTGGTGCCGTTTGGCCGTTTGCTGCTGCTTGTGCACGTACTCGTATGAGTTGCCATAGTCGCGTGTCGAAATACTCGGGGACGCATTAGCTTACTCAGACTGAATTTACTACAGGGCTCGAAAGGCTTCGAATCAATTTGTGCCGAGGCGAGCCATGACAACGCCTTAGGAGGTGCAAACGATTCGGCACATTCAAAAGTCCCTACTCATTCAACATGTTAGAACAAGCCTGGCAGTTGCAACCTATACAATTAGTAATCAGGGATACCAAGGTTTGCAAATAAGGTTGATGGTTTGAATAATGGGCCGTACGTTCACATGTTAACAACACCTGTTTACCAACATGTACTGGTCGGTAATTGGCCCCTTTGGCGTGGATTCTCAAAAAATCTGCATTCATAATGCGCTGAGAATGTAAAGTGCGGGACCGAAGAAACCGGATGAACGAACAAGGCGTGGGCAATAAAACGTTTAATCGTCGGCTAGGACAAGAGCTTTAAGGTAGTGTGAAGAAGCAAGATAGGAAGATATGGAATTGTTACGCGTGCAAGCATGTACGCAGGCTTGGTCAGCCACAATGTAACCCAATTGGTACCTAATAAGAACTAAACAATGTCGGACGCAAACAAATTGAAACCCACTTGAGCATGAAGCTCTAACTAGGCGCAGAACTAGTAAAGATATAATTGTCCACATTGACTTCTCTAACGTATTTAAAGGGCGAATTGGCATCGGCATCACTTACGGGATTTGTTTGTTGTGACTTGCGACAGTGTGGGGAGAAATACCGACGTGAGGGTAAGAATAGCGACGAAGCAGAGGCAAGTGGCTGAGGGCATACTTCCGATGAATGGTAGTCTCATAGACGATCCGGCATGATATCTAAAAATAACCACATTTAACAATAAACAGCCCTAGTCACCAATAAGGACATTTCAAGTCCGGTTACAAAATAATGAGGTTTACACATGACAGAGAGGCAGTTCTGCACTGAATGCTACTGAAACAAGAGGCAACTTGATAAATATTCTGACGTGAAAAGCAAAGCTTGAACCCGATAACCGCGACGAACTAGAATTGAAGCCTTCAAGAAAACCATCGTTAAGAGCATGCTTTCCACAGTCTCTATGGCATTTTTAAACAGATGAAACATTCTGGTGCTAGAAGTTTACCTGCTACGACAGTTGGATGAAATTAGTTGGCAAAGTTAGCTATGGACAAAATAAATGAGAAAAAAAAACACCAGGTTCAAAATAAATGAGAAAACGAGGAAGCATTCTGATCATAAACAGCATTAAACCAGCGGCGTTGGCTTGGCTGTGTGCAAATAAAACGGATCTTAAAGGGTTGAATGTCAAGGCCGACTTGCGTCTAGTCATAGCAGGACGAAAGTGCACGTGGACGCGCTGACAGAAAATGGGGAAGGGAACTATTTTACGATCAGCTGCAGGAAATGTTTGATTGATTTTTAATCCACAGCATCAAAAATTTTCTCACAGCTAACAAGATGACTTGGAGTGGCTCACTGATTCGACCACAGATACAACATAACAATTGGAACCAACTCATGACATTTGACGAAGTAAATAGACCATGATCGAAAAATTCACAAGCTGACCTTGAGACCTTTTACAACGCAACCAACTGAGTTGACATGACAGGAGTTAAACAGGTTGAAGCTAACAGTGTAAGCAGATGTGCCAGTTTTCACACCAGAGAGCAGCCCGTGCCCTCGCAAGATTAAAGTCAGTCTGGGCAACAAACTTTACCACCGGCGGCGACGAAATTGGAACGATTTATCTAAGTCTTCCTTTCAGAGACAGTCCACAAAAATAACGTAGGAAGGCTCACGAGGGAAATGGAAATGAATAAAAAGGCATTCGATATAAGCTGTCTCTACAGTATTACCATATTTAGGCGCCTATGCAAGAATCACATGAGAATCACCTTTTCGTTAGGCAGTTACTAAACGGAAATTAACGTTTGCAGAGCCCCTTGCAATGATTGTGCTACTCGAGAAAGACGACAGTGAACTCATCATATAAGGCATACCGAAGGAAACGCATTACATTTTTCATGAAACGACATATTTATGCTGAGCGTCGAAGAAATTCAAGAGGGGAATATGGTTGCATAACGTGCAATGCAATTTGAGAGACTAATGTATTTCCAAGAAGCTATCATGCGGGAGTGAAAAGAGTTATGATTCAGCGATATGAAAACATGCGTTGCATATTTGGCCTTCTCAAAAGTGCTTTATAGCATCGGATTTCCAAAAACGGTTGCATTACCAAAGGTGTTGAATGAACTTCGTACATTAATGCACAAATAAGTGTTAAGAATTATTCCGTCGTTAGAATAAGTCGGTATTTTGTAGTGAAAAAAGACGAATCTCCCATGGATACCTGATAAACAAAATTTGGCTATAATGCATAAATATATGTAAAAAGACAATTCAGAGTGTTTATACAAATAACGGGTTGTCTTCAAAATAAGGAAAACAAAAATTCATCCAAAAACTAGGTTTTGCTTAAAGTATTCCAAAGGTGGTTATGAAATGGGAAACCGGTAAAAACGTCCAAAATAAATTATTAGTCACCAATAGTAATTTAAAGATAATCAAGTACTACTCATCCCTAAAAGAACTTGGCATCATTGTTAGGAAGAAACCAGTTTAATCGACCATAAGCATGCGTCAATGACGATTTCAAACATAGGTAGGGAGAAGGAATGTTTGACGAAAAAGGTCTTTCACGTAAATTTAAGCAACAATGAGGTTACACAATAAATATGGATTTAAAAGGACAGATAAAAGTTAACTGAAAGAATGCTGTAGGTAGACAGGGTAATAAGACGGTTCTCCAGCGCACTGTTAAGGCATTACCAAAATAGAAGCCATAAAACGTACTCCGCCGAACGACGGCAACTTACATATAACGATCATATTTAACCTAATATGATAAAACCGACAAACGAGTCAACTTTATCCTGATTGGATAGTCATTTGAATGCAGCGCGGGAAGATAAGGTTGTAATTGGTAACTTGCACATCTTTTAATTGGTTGGTTCGCAATGGGTTGCTATTTGCATTATTGACACCATGTCAAGGTAACAGGTGTGAATATGGTAGAATCAAAATAGTGCAAACGGTTGGGATAACATTAACACATTTAATTTGGCTATTGAGTAGACGCATTGGATGACATTTTATTAAAACTCTTAAAGTTTGCTCGAAAGGATTATTTCAGAGATGCAA